TAATGATGTCAATTATACCTACATTCCCTGTCAATTATACCTCTGGACTAATGCGATAAACTGTAGTTTAGAGGTCATTGCCCTGGGCAGTAAACTCGGGCAGTAAACTTTTGTTTCCTGCCCGGCCTATCAAATAACATGGCATTTTGACACCGACAGTTTCTTGGTCATAGTTTTACTGCCCGGCTCGTGCTGTGCTTAAGACATACCCCGGCATGTAGGAAACACCAGTAGAGGCTGTTTCATTGACCGAGAATACAACAAAAGAAAAAGAAAGAAAACGCTGTAACCAGTGGCGATAAAGCGATTGTCTGGTTACATATATTGTATGTCTACTCCTGATAGGCACGTGATATTCTATACAACTTCAGCTATCCCACCCGATAGTTTCAAAATTGAGGCTCTATGGATACTTTATTTCTGTCATGTCAACGTGGCATCTGAATAAAACACATGAATAGGAATCTCCATTTAGCGAGTAAATATGGGCTTATTGGAGATTAAATAGGCTCCCCACATTAATTGCCACCCGGACACGTGAATGATGATCCAAAAACGATGTTCGTGTCATTTGGACAGAATCCCTAATACCGATACTATTCCATGGATCTAGTAACATCCTCACTCACACAATCTTTATAATGCTCTTTATGGCCCAATCTAAACGCAATCGCCATTCGTACCTGCATATTACCGGCATCGGGGCTAATCTGAAATCGATCGCCGCCGAAGCGCCGCTGCAAAGTTGCATGCATGGCTCGGCAACACAGGAAACGCGGCCCATAACTGGCCGGCGACGCGGCAGCGGGCGGCGGGCAGGCAGCGGTGTCGTGCGTCACTCGTGACACCAGCACCAGCGGACGGCGTCACCACTGGTGATCCGCTCGTGTAGAGGGGTCACGGGGGTCACTGAAGGACGGACACAGCCGGGAAACACGCGGCCAGCGCCGGGTCGGAGCACCATGGTCGGCTGACACGGAGTGCGGCTAGCCTGACAGCCACACCGGCTCCTCCCCTCCCCCTCCCCAGGGCTCCGCAGCGGCACAAAGGTCGTCAGTCGTCACCATGCCTGTGAGCACTCAGCACGCCTTGACACCCCAGGCCCTCCCTGCTCTGTCAGTCCCCAGTCCATGGAATGCAGTGCCTGGAGAAGCTGCGTTACACTTCGACAGCCGCCAGCGCCGGTCGACTCGATACCCGTCGCGATTGGATTCTTGCTCGTCCGTCCGGGTGACAGGCGACCTTTTCAGACGCCACGGCCCAGCAGCGGTACTCAACCAGTCGCGGTTCTCGAATCAAAGGGCTTCTCAGAGACAGTTCAGCCATCGAAACTGTACTGGCTGACCTGGGAGTCCTTTATAACATCCTGGTCCTGTCCAAACCAACTGTGAAGCCACGGGGTGGACTGGAAGCCCGTGTAACTGTCACATACCTATGTCGGCTCTAATCGGTAGACAAGGACTTTTGGCATGGTAAGCGCCCATACTAACCTTGTCTCGGTCCCTTTAGATTTGATCTGGATTCTGTGGATAGCTTTCGTCTGAAGCTCGTGGGGCAACTACAGTCAGCATGAAATACAGTCAGCGAATGAAAAAAAAAATAACAAAATGAATATGAAATCGACTACCTTATTGTTAACTTCTTCGGCTTATTCATCATTCAAGGCATTTAGGTAAGGTAGCGAGTGGAAAATAAAATTAATAAGAAAAAAGAAAATGATTGTTTGATTGTCGCATTCTCCAGTTTATTCATCATTCATGGAATAAGTTAGCTTCCGCAGAATGTTGACAGTAAATTGCTACTACCTACTAGCATTCATCAATTTTACTATTAAAAGCAAAATCATTAAAAGGACTTAACTTTGAAGTCTATACTTAGCATACGACATACGTGATCAATGATTATATGTTGTCAAAAATTTATTTACCTGCAAGTTCTCATCTCATTGCATCATCAATTGCCAATGTCATTGCCCTCGGCGCTGAGCTACGTTGGGGACATTTGTGTGCCTCCCATGAAACCCTTTAGTGATTGCTTAGCCTCAGGTCGGAGTACACAGATTGGCACTGGACAGCCTGGCATTAGTGAACACGTGACTCCGTTTGTTATGAACACAGATATTGACCGGCGTGTCAACATCGAGACCCTGTGCCCGATAGTGGTTTGTAAGCACCAGCAAGCCGTTGGAACTCACCGTCAAACAGTGTGGGTCAGTGCACTGAGTTCGACGTCATACCCAGCTCAATTAGAGCGGCGTCAGCACAGAGCCGGTACCTGCAGCGACATGACGAACGGCGCTAATGGGTGTCCGCGCACTCCAAAATAGCGCCTCCACTCGCACCGACCCGGCTAAAACTGCGGCCATTTACAGCCGGGCCGAGGCCATTTTGCTGAAACTGAACCGCTGAGATCTGCAAGTTGCTGGTGGCTCCGCTCCGGCGCATAGCTTAGCGCGATCAACTGGGCGCCTGCAGCGGACCCGGCGGTCTCACACATTTAACGCCACGGACAATTTCCCAAACAGAGCCGTTCCTGAGAAATATGCTTGCCTTTCGGGCCGGCAGCCACCAGACCTGACAGAAGCGCCAGCCCGCTCTTGTCACTAGGCGCTCAGCCTCTCAGTGGCTATTTGGCAGCATTTTCAAACTTATGCCCTGCTGAACATGGACACAATATCCGCTCGGAATTCGACGAAATGATTTCGAGAAATGCCATCGGCACAGTCTAACGTAAAATCAGATGTTTGCGGCCTCGTGAGCAAACTGGAAACTGTTTTATCAGTTTATCAGCATGAATTCTTTGGAAGCTAACGTGATAAATGCTGACTGAAACATTGTCTCAAAGCTCCAACTTTTGAGAGCATCATATTTGCTCGACTGGAAATGAAATGGAATTGTAGCACATTTCAGTAAGTATTTCCAAAACAAAACAACTCTTTCCTACAATGAGTTATATAGAGTTATATATGCAAGATAATTCGGCTCAACTACTCACAAATTCCAAACAGGGGAGTAAAAGTTAATTAAGATAGGCCAGAATGTCTGCTGCTTTTAATGCAAACCAGTTAGGAAGCCAGCTTACCCGGGCCTGCCAATCCGGGTGCTCGTAGTTATCTAACACAGGCCACTTCTGCTACCAGGCATATTTTCCTAGATTTCGCTCCAGAAAGAAGAGCTGAGACAGTCCCCAATTTACCGACCTGCTGCACTTATAATAGAAATTAAAAGACGCACATGTTTATGCCGGTACATCCATACGGCATGCGGTCGTTGAAAAGGTCATGCAGTCGTTATTGTATATTCGTTGGTAAAACACTTGCCTCATAGTTACATATATTAGGCTTTAATTAGACGATTGAGGAAAATAAAGCCATGAATCCATAAAATAAATGCGTAAAGGTATGGCTGTCGTTCGTTTTGCACCAAACATTTTTTTCAGAAAAAAAGGTGATTTCGGCAGCTAAATTATCTTTTGATATGATAATCGACAACATGGTGATGCGTTGCATGCTGGGCTCTTCTGCTATACGATATATTGTTGTTATTTCTTTTGTTGTACTTATACGGAGAAGAACTGATAAAAAATCGAGTTTTCAATATACACCCTCGCCCGCACATGGGGGGGGGGGGGTGGTTGCCACCCCCCAGGTAGTCTTTCTGCTCTGCACTCAACATTTTTAGAGCTAGAAGGCTGATTTTTCGTATAGCTGCTCCTCTATCCTTTCTTGATGTCCACTGAAAATTTCAAGTTTCTGTGATTTTTGGTTTCGGAGATATGACCTTGTTTTTCAGGTCATGTCATGACCCAAATGGCCAATTCTCAACATCTTGCGTTTCCCATGGGCCTTATGAGCTTTTGACACCCTGATTTCGGCCTTTTTTGCCAGTCTTACCTCCTACCTATCATGGAACATGTTGTTTGACGATGTACAGGGGTCAAGGTCAGGGTCAAGGTCAACCTAGGTCACCTAAGATAATTGCGTTTTAGGCAAGCTGAATTTACTTTTTTTGAAGTTTTTTGACTGCATTTTTGGTAAAAGCTTCTCAGATCATGATTTCATGTAATATGGACCCAAAAACAATCGGTGCACACATCAGTATACACACAGACACACACAGACATACAAACACATATAATTGACCTTGACCTAACTTGACCTGAAATGACCTCAGCAGCAAAATTCTGGTCGGGTAGTGTGATTAAGAGGTTCTAGCTGGCACCAGAAAACAGCATCGTCATCGGTATTTGATAAGCAGCACACATGATATCCAACGGTGACCCAAAACAGCAACATTTTTTAGTTTGACCTGACCTGGAAGGTCAATGACTGACCTGAGAAGGTAAAACTGGGTATCATTGGATTCGTCTCTTCCCAAAGAATCTTTTTTGTCTTTACTGCTAAGCTCTATCTCCAACAGGAACGAAATGGCGCGGGGGGGGTGACAACCACCCCCCCCCCCCATGTGCGTTCTAGGATGGGAAAATGGCATGTGCGGGCGAGGGTTAAATGCGAATTCATAGCCATCAACTGTTCGTGAAAGCGTGTACACTGATTAGCTAGGTATGTTCATGAAGCTTAGATTAAAAAATAATGATAAAATGATCATCGGTTATCTTTGCGTAGAGCCTCATAAAAACGTGGCATTCCCGTACTTGCCTTACCTCCAAACTATTTTAATTCTTGTTTCTTTGAAATTATAAGCATACGTCATGTACAGCATATAATAGGTTATAGGTAATCAAGCAAAATAAGCACCCTAAAAGGCGATTAAAGAATTATGAATCCCGATAAAAATAAAACTTATTAGATTACTTAAGGTAATAAGGCTCACCAAGCTGCATGCAATGCCAACTTATCAAGGTACTAGGTGCTATGCAATTACATATTGTCTTTTTTTGCGCTACCTATCCTCCCACAGTAATTCCAAATTCACTGGCATCCAAAGACGGCAAATCGTGATAAAAAGCGATATGTGGTCGGCGGTCGCACATTGAGGTACTCACCCAAGTGTCGTCATGGTAACAATCGTGTACCAGAAGGACGCCGGAATGGACGTAAACGTCGAGCCCTTCTGCTTCTTCTCGGCATAGAACATGACGGTGGCGAAAATGATGATGGCCATTGCGAGCGAGAACACCAGGAAGCCCAGCTCCTTGGCGCACGACTTGAGCGTGTAGCCGAGGATGCGCAGTCCCTGGGAATGACGCGAGAACTTGAAGATCCGACAGACGCGGAACACCCGGAGCGTGACGAACGCGCCGGACACGTCGTCGTTATCGGTGATGCCCAGTCCGATGTAGTAGGGCAGGATGGCCACCACGTCGATGATGCTCATCACGCTGCGCACGAACTTGCAGCGGTCGGGCGCAGCGTACAGGCGCAGCAGGTACTCGGCCGTGAAGATCATCACGCATGCCGTGTCTAGGCAGAAGAAGATGACCTCGTAGCGCTCACCGCACGGCAGCGGCTCTGCCTTGCCAGGCACCTCTCCGCAGGAGACCGTTTCCGCTACGTTAGCCAGCACGGAGACGGCGATGAAGAAGCCGGTGACGTAGTAGAACACCAGAGCCGCCGTCGAGGTGTGGGGGTTCTCGAAGGCGCGCCACATCTTCTCGCGCAGACTGGCCAGCGGCACGAGCGTGCCCTCGCCGTTCTCTGACATTTTGTCGTCGAGAAGGCGTTCGGCGTTCTCACGTTTCCTGTCTCGATAGTCCTCATAGCAGCAGTCTCCGATCACGTCTGGAATGATTCCGAAAAAGGCCAGCTCCTCGTCGTAGCTGGTCAGACACTCGTGTTTCGGGTAATGCAGCTTCCCCGTGCGGTAATAGTTAAGGATATGCCGGAAAATGTCTGGATCCCGGTCGAAAAAATACTCTTTCGTGTCCTCCTCATAGAAAAAGTCACGCTCGTTGGAGCCGAGCAGCGAGTCCGGGTATTTTTCCACCGTGTTGCGCCAAGTCTCGAATTTCCTACCGGACACGTTGATGATGAGCTTCTCATCATCGGCGCGGCGCCGGTCGCGCGCCACGGGCGGTTCCGGCAGTGGCTGGTTGGCGATCGGCACCCAACCGATGGCCGCCGCGCGGGCGAACGGCAGCCACGCGGCCACGGACGCCATCGCCTCAGCACGGCTCCGGCACTCGGCTCCCGGCTCCGGCTCCGGCTCCGGCGTTCACATTCCCCGCCGCACGCACCGCACCCGTGCCGCCGCCGGCCGCCGACTGTCAGCGGCGCTCCGCCGAGGCGGCGGCGGCTGCGCGCGCGCCGGCCGCCGATTGATTGCGGCACCAGCTCGCCAGAAGTCGCCTGTTTCCCGGGTTGCCATGACAACGGCCGACCGGCAGATTGTCATTCATGGTCAGCTGACTGGGTCGGGAGATGAGCCAGTCAACTAAGTGACTGGACAGTCAGCTGGGTTCACAGATGACTGAACGGCATACCATGGAGTATTGGCTGCCGTCTGAACGGACTCTGAGAGGAAAATCGACCACCGAATCTAATGCAAGGTGAGAGGATACGAGATGAAAGCGTAAGGCGACAACAAAATGACTAATTCAGGAAATAAAACACGCATTCCATCCGACATGTACCTAGAGGTCCATGTAATTGCATAGCTTACCTTCAGCGATGTTTTAAACACTCTTTATTCGATAAGGATGACAAAAAAAAAAACATTTGAACCTTTCAACAGAACGTTCTATGTATAGGTAGGTATACATATTGGATTATTGACATGTTTGAAGCGCCGCTGCAGCATTCGCCAGGGTCAACTCTCTGCACTCTGATGCGTGCCGTCTGCCAAACATTGCGGCACTACAAGAGCTGACTCATGCTGATCCCCACTGACCGATTACTTTACTATGATGAGTAAGGTCAAAGGTGAGATATGCGGAGGCAAATCAGCGAACAGCTTTTCGTTCCAAACACTTACATTCTCATCCCATCATGACAAAGGTTCTTTATGTCACTGATTTACTCTGCAATCTGAGATAAAAATGAGACATATGCATTGTATACCTACTCGTACCATCATTTTTGCAAAAGCTGCTGTCTCTTTCCAATCCAAATGAGCCCGTGAGTCCGTGACAATATTTCACGGGCAAAGCCAGCGAAGTGATTCATTATAGCCAGTGTAATTCACGGACCACGATATCCGTCACCGCTTTTGCAGTTGTGCAAATGCGTGACGGTGGAAAATGTAGCCACATGTTTTAGAACAATTAAAATAGTCGGTGAGAGCACTAAAGAGTCGGTACGTAATGCAGTTGTTATGGCCTGTGTAAATACCAATGCAATAGTTTTATAAGCATACTCGAATGTGAATTGCGTCACGTCACTCAATTTTTTTTATCTCAAAACAACTGAAATATCCAAATTTTAACAAGCCATATCCCTTTCATGTTTTATCTATAGGTAGGTACTCGTATATTCGGGGGGGGGGGGGCGTCCGGACTACAGTGGTCATCGGCGCTTATAGGTATATTCTCAACATTTTTAATACGCTTTTTAATACATTTACGATTTTTTCATCTTTTAAAAAACTATAGGTACTTACTTACACTTCTAGCAATATGTATGTTATCTGACATCTCCACGGCACCAATATCTATCTATATCTAGCTACCTGTGAGGTATTCGACACTCGACCTCACCCAGCCCGTCACAGACTCAGCCTTGGCATTCACCAGGTGACAGCTGTCATTTGTGACATGTGTCTCGTGACGCCAGTGTCACCTCTTAATCTGTGCCCATGCGACTGAGAGGCCGGCGGGCCAACGACAACAAACACAGGCGCGCCGGGTCACTGGCGAGTCGATCGCACGGCTCGCAGACTGTCGCTCGTGCGCAGAGGAACGTCGTCTCGATAGAGGCTGAAGGGATAGAAGAGTGGCGTATGATGACCAGTCTGGCAGGGCCGGAGATGTTCTCGTACGGTATCGCCAGCTGGCATTATGCGTTTCAGCAGCTCTAAATTATGAAATGAAAGTGCTCTCGAATATGCGACTGATGAAAGAGCTGCTCAATTTTGTTGAAAACAAATGAAGTCACATCAACCTCACGCTTTTCAGAAACAGAAACAACAGGAATGAACGCCGAACGCACTTTCAAATGTCTACGTAACCGCTGCAACGAGAGTGCTTACTTACTTGCCTCATAGATGGCGTTAGTTGTCAGCCGCCTGATATGATACTGTACCGCACGGCATTGGCGTCCCGCGGTGCAGCCTACCAGCCAGGGAACGTTTTTACTAGTGGTGTCAATCGGAACTTGAATCTTCGGAATTCCGATTTTGTCCAATGTCCAATTCGGAATTCGGTTGGACAATGACAGCAGGCTTTGGACAACTTTGGACAATCGCTTGCTACACCTCAACATTTTCATAAAGTAATCGTGTTTAACATTGATTGCCTATTAACCCTCGCCCGTAAACGGCGATCTGCCACCTTCGCCCATGCAGGGGGGGGGGGGGGTTGGTGCGACCCCCCCCCCCTTGGCGTTTGAAAACGGAGCGTCGTAGAGCTTAGCGGAAAAGACCAACGGATTGCTCTCGCCGAGATCTCGCGATTGGTGGTATATTTTTTGGTCCTAGGTCAACATTTGACCTACTTTTGACCGGTCAAAGGTCAAATTCTCGGAAAAATAGACTTTTTTCAACTTTCGGCGGCGATTGCGGCAAAACGGTGGGAGATATCGACTTGAAACCTTCACTATCGTGTTCCTTGATCAATTTTCTATCGTTTGGTATGTATTCCGTTTCCCTAGCTCCAAAAATGGCGCGTTGGGAGCGCCGGAAGTCGGCAAGGTCACAGTCGGCGGCAGAAATTCGAAAAATCAAAATTTAAATTTTTGAAATCTGATTGTATTTTTGGATTTGGGAGGTCCATTTGCTCCCTATAGAAGCTAATATTGCTGCATATTCCCATTGAGGTGACAAGAATTAGCAAAATAGTGGTTCGGGCGCTTTTCAAAAATAGTACCGGACGCTGTTCCTCTTGTGACGTCATAGCTCCGTGACCTGACCTGACCCGGTCAAGTTTCTTATACCATATGATAGCCAATACTTGCCCCAACATGCATGGGAAGTTTCATCACGATCCATCAACCGATGTCCGTACCACCGGCAGGAAACCTCGGGCGTTGGCACTCAGTTTGTGAAAATCCGGCCGGAGGCTGTTCCCTTTGTGACGTCATAACTCCGTGACCTGACATGACCCGGTCAAATTTTTTTATCAAAAGATGCGCAAGGTTTGCCCCATAAGGTACCCAAACTTTGGCGGCGCTGCGCGCCGCCGTTTTTGCACTATTTCCGAAAAGCCTCAGGAGGGGGGGGTTGCACCAACCCCCCCCCCCTACATGAGCGAGGGTTAAAAAGCCCAGCTTTCGATATGATAAACACTTTTGAGCTGGTAACGATACATTAACAGCAAATTAAATAACGGTGTTGAGTGTAAACTATTGCGTAAATGTCGGACATCTTTGGACAAATGGCTGGCTTGGATATTTTTGGACGGACAGTCGACGCCAGCATTGGACATTGGACTGACATTGGACACATGTTTTCTGAAATTGACATCACTAGTTTTTACCGGGCTCCCGCCAGGGCACGTCTCTGCAATCTGTATCGTAGACGTTCTTTGGAACAGCGGCGACAAAATATGTCCTCAAAGGTAGGGAAAGACGATATGTACCAGCACCTACAGCAGAAGGTACCGTCTACCGGGCAATCCAGTTTTGTGTCACACTTGCGTGGAGCATTTACATTCAGTTACCATCTCGAACCCCTACTGCGTGCCACGCACGGGCGGACACTTTTCATCTCGTTCTGGTCTCTTTGATCCCCAAAATGTGTCGTTAGCGGCTTAGTGCGCTGGCGCGGGGCCGGAGTACCAACTGTTGCTGCCGATTGCCGGTGGGAGTGGGAAAGGGGAGGGTAGAGGTGGGGAGGACAACACTCCAGAGCACGTAACGTCTGCCTGGTAGCGCTACAGAGTCGCACGGCGTCCGATCGGCGGCGTAGTTTCGTCCGAGGTCGGGTACCGGGGACAGCCATCGTCGATTCCTGACGACGCTTCTCGTGGAAAACTACCGCGGACGTGAGAAAAGAGGTCGACCGCAGCCACTTCAGATCAAACGCTGAAGCTCCATTCGGCATCACTCTAACCACACACATCCACCGTCCGGAGTCAGAGAGTCAGAGTAGCCGAGTAGTCCGAGTCGTGGTCCCAGGGAGGGGAAGCTCTGGTGAGTTGGGCGCGGATCTAACCGCCGCGGGCGTCGCCTGCGTCCGCCTGTCGCCATCGACCGTCGCCTTATTAGCCGGGCCCGGCGGCGACGCCTCCCGGGGGGCGTTATCGCCCACAGGGACAGACGCCATCCCGACAGGCCGACGGGTCGGAACGATGGGGCCGGCGGGTCAACGAGGAGGGGTCACCGGGGAGGGCTGAAGGGATGGGTGGGGAGGGGCTAATGACCGGATGGGAAACCGGGGTAGTCACTGGTGCTGGTTGGAGAGTCACTGGGTGTAGTCATCCGGTGTAGAGCCACTAGGTGTAGTCACTGGTTGCAAAGTCACTGGTTGTAGTCACTGGTTGTAGAGGCACTGGGTGAAGTGGAGGATCACTGTGACTGGGAGAGGGTAACTGGGGATGGGGCTGGCCGCTGGAGGGGGGGGGGAGTACCTTCGCTTTTTGCCAGCTTTCGCCTCACGTTCAGCCAGATCGGCATGCAGGAAAAGTTATCTTCATGTCACGTCGGCAAAGGTTTCCGCTCCCCAATTTTTGTGAAAATATTTTTTTTTTGTGATACGTTTAGTCATTCTATGATAGATATTTACTGATCACCTGTCTATAGCATCCTTTACAACACTCCGGGTAGGTGTCTCAGTTCTCATAGGAATGTAGATTTACCTACGTCAGACGGTAACACACACACACACACAAACCACCAGAAACAACACAGCTGGATATATTCAGAAATATCTGCAGTAACTTCAGTCAGCACACGACGCACATTCAACATATACAGCGCTACACATTTTGATCCGTCAGGTCCACCTATGTACAGCACGGGATCCGGCGGGGGGCACCATTGTACAGTATTGACACCGGCTAGCCGCCCACAGAGCAGTACAACTATCACACACGGTGGGCCGGCGGCCGTCAGAGCTCCCGCCCAGCTCCGACAGCCCCGCGGGCTTATCACGGCCGTACAGCCCCGCCGTATCGCCCAGACTCCCTCACAGCTGCCATGACTCTGACAGAGATGGGAGCTCACAGACGGTGGTCGCGGCTCCGTTAGAGCTCATAAACGGCCGCTGTGGCTCCGTTAGAGCTCATGAACGGCCGCTGTGGCTCCGTTAGAGCTCACGTACCGCCACCATGGCTCCGTCAGAGCTCACGCACGGCCATCACGGCTCCGTAGTATAGATCAGCCGAGTACTATCGCCCTCCAGAGCCAACAGACGAGATTTCCGCCGCGTTTGACTCCTGCTTGCGGGCCTGCAGCTGCTCCAGCCACTCTGGATGGAACACGTTCCACTGATCCAGGGCCTCCGGCGGTACTCCCATCATTTCTAGAACAGGGCGGGTGGTCGTGATACAGGCTCCAGCACAGGACCACGTACAACCTCTGACAGAGGGACCGTGTACAGGGACGAGCGCGGGGGACGCGGCACAAGCCGAGCGGAGAGATCGGGCCCTGCTAGTGGCCGGGGAGCGCTGCGCGTCCCAGTCACGCTCGAGAGCGCGCCGCACGCCGCTTGAGCAACTGGAAGAACACGGTTGAATTGGCAAGCTCAGCGGACGCGCTCGCGCCTGACTGCGTTAGTGTTCCGATTCAGCAATGCCCACTTGACTGAGGGGCGAACTGAGGCCCAGTGAGGGGCCGATACCGGCGATTTGTTGACATTTGACTAAGTCAGCCACCCGCATTACAGACAGACTGGTCTCACAACCCGTGGTACCACACTAAGGACAGCCAGCGGCCGGCGGCGGCGGCCACGGGACGGCACCAGCCACACACCACGAGCCGAACCCGACAGACGACCACAGACGCGACCAGACGCCACCACTAGCCGCGAGTCCGGGCGGCGGCGGCGGCGCGGCGCACTGCAGCTTGCCGCCGCCGCCGGCAGATGTCGCTCCAAGCGGCGGCCTAGGAGAGCAGCTCCCTGGTCTGTTCCCGGAACATGGGGTCGTCGGCGAAGACGTGGTTGGTTGGTATGTCGGCCACAGCGTCCGGATTGCCGCCTGGAACCCAGCGAGACACACAGAGAGCCCGGTAAGCAGACGACCCGACACACGGACTCCGGACATACACGCAACAGCAAACCGTCAACGTAACGTCAGCCATCCAGTCAAACGGGACAACCCAGTATGTGTACCGTGACAATGTTCAGACGAATATGTGATGAAGAGACGTGATGTGGAAGATGGAATGGTGGAATTGATGGGGTGATGGAAGGGCTGGCTTCGAAATAGAAAGACAATAAATAATTACTGAAAGCAGAAAGGCAAACCATGAAATGAAACATTATCAGATAATAACAATGTTGAGCTCAATTGACTTGGTTTCATGGCCGATTTAGAAAAGCAAAGGATAATAGGAGAATAAATTGGTGCCATAAACATAAAATAACCTATATGTCAGCAGCAATAGAAAGGGTAGAGATCAGAGAAAGCTAACAATGCTCATAACGTTCTTAAAAGGCAATGTTCATATAGAGCGGGTTGGTTCAGATCATCAAGGATATGTGAGGATCGTACAGGCGGAAATGAAGACAAATAAATATGTAAAGCTGTGGTCTTCACCAAGAACAACACGCACACATATATGTTCCAATAAATACCAGACACAAACACAACGACACAACAAACAACAACAAATACCAGTGTAATGCTACACCACTCCGGCTGCAAATAGATCCAACCACGAAAAGGTCCCTTGATTAACACAACAAAACTCAAGCAGCAAACATAAATCGATTTCCACCAGTGACGTCAAATCATGTCAAATCATCCGGTGTCAAAAGAAACCACGGCATAATTCCTCTCTCCCTCTAACCTGCTCCCGGCCTCTATCTACGATTTGTGGTGATAACGATTTTTTAAACGCAAAACCTCAAAAAGCATTGAACCTGTGGTTCAATGCAATTTGGCGGAATGAATGACATTTCTTAGAACTCGTGTTTAAATAGCATCAGCTGACGGCATTTCACCCCCAGAAAGCGCTGACGCTGACGGCATTTCACCCCCACCCTCCGTCCCTTCTCTTCCCGAGAGGAAAACACAGGGGCAATGGGAGACGTGGATCACTGGATCATACAGCCGCTACCATACAATGACAGCTGCACATAATCAAGTATGACAAAGACAACACGCAAATACTCAAACCGACCAAATCATTCAAACAAGCGATACATGTAAATGCAAGGTGAACATACTTTATCTATGAGATAAAATAGGATAACTAAACAGATGAAAACAATAATTATTGCATTACATATATGAAACAAGCTACGTTGAATAAGATTGTGATGATTTACAATGTAATAAGCACGCACAACAGACAATATGAAAATAAAACACATCATACCGACACAACCACAAGGGAGCACACATTTCACTCGATTCGATCATCTCCAAACATGTTTCATGACTCATGAGCACTTGTTTGTCCACCAACTCCCCCCCCCCCCCCCGAGAGGTCATAAAGCGGATGATGGATCGCAAATGGCAGAACTTATGTCAGGAGATGGACAGGTCAGATCACACAGTAAACCAAACAGCAAACACAAAAAGCCAAGTAACCTGCTGGCGAAGTGCAAGTGACAGATCATATGACACTAATATGCAAGAAATAACAACTAAATTAAAAAAAAAACATGCAAAGCATTCCGAAAGCAGAATGCGGCAAGTCAGCTCGCTATGCAGAAGCAGATAGCCTTGCGCAAGCCTGGCGTGCTGCTCGCGGCTGAGGCACAAGTTCGCCGTCCCTCTCCCTCTCCAAGGTACGTTGTGAGTGAGGTCGGACCCCCCCCCCCCCCCCCCTCTCCCGTACAGAGCATCCGACATGCACGCAGCGAGAGCGGGCATCCATAATAGCTTCTAAGGTGATCATTCGACCCTTAACTGGCCGGCAGCCAAACCAGATAGCACAAACTCATCCAATGCACAGGCTGGCGGTAAAAATTAAGGCCCGAAACCAATAGGAACAAAAACATGATTTTGTTTTGGTGAATTCAGGCGCCGCAAAAACATGCGAGATAAGATGGATAGGCGAAACATTGTAGTCCGAAACGAAAATAGGAAGCAACAAAATCTATTCCAGCTCGGAAACGAGGAAAAGATCATCGTGAAAATTTTTGACTTCAGTGCTTCAACAGAGCCTTCCCATCGTTCCTTCTTCAGATGACATTTTTCTTCAGCTGGCATTAGCTGACATCAATGACAGTGGAGTCCTCCAAAGTTCAGCTAAATTGTAACCAAATCGATATTTTACCTGGTAGCTTAATTTTCCGCTAACAGAGTGATATCCCCCAGATATTCACAAAGAAATTGAGCCACCAAGAGTTATCGCCAGAAGGCTGGTAGAGGAGTCGCGAGTCGCCCAAAACTCCTTTGCCACCCCTCAACCGCAGCCCAGGTACACTCCCGGGTGTACTTTTAGGCCGGGGTGCACTGATTAGCCCCGGGATGCAGCCATCAGTCCCAGGGGTGCACTCTCCAGTCCCTTCTGGCCCAGTGCAGCCAGCGTCTCTGTACACTGTACAATACATAGCACCCTCCGGCCGCGCCCGTCACGATATACCTGATCACAGAGCCGTCACTGCCGGCCCCTGGACGAGCTCTGTCCCGCTCATCCCGTCTGTAATCGACCATCAGAGCCGCTCAGTAGCGGTACGGGAGGATAGGGGACAGGCGCCAGGAAACAGAGAAAATAGACCGCACACAACCAGAGAAAGACAGAGAGAACCGAGAGAATAGCACAGGATTCCCAACACCAAATATAATGAACAGAGTGGCGAACACAAAATGAGGCGAAATAGCTGCAACAGAGAAAAACACAACCACCACCAAAGCAAACAAAATACAAGTACAGTGTTTATGAGATTGAAGGCAGATGTAAGCAAGCCGAAGCAGCGTTTAGACTGGTTCCACAGCAGGTTGGCACCTCTCCTTGTAAGCTGCTTGGCTCAGTTGGGTTAGATACAGACAGCTTTGCGCTGGAGTTGAGTGGAAGTGATGTGGATCCTCACCGTGAGCCAGTCAGGTGTGGAAGTCCGATGTGGACCGGGTGGACAGGCGAGGATGTGGACTCAGGTGGACATGAGCCGGCGGTGGAAGCGGCCAATCTCCACCGGCGGAGGCACGGAAGAGGAGCGAGGGCGCTTCAGATACCGGAATCGCCCCAGGGCGGCCCGCACCGCTGGCGGGGAAGGGGGGGGGGCAGAGGAGCGGTTAGGAGGGGAGAGGAGAGGAGGAGAGAGGACGAGAGGAGCGGTCAGAAGGAAGACGAGAGGAGGAGAGAGGACGAGAGGAGCGGTAGGGAGAGGGGGAAGAGGGATGAATGTCAAAGGGCACATCGGGACAGGTAAGAATATGATTTACAGAGTTGAGGCAAAGTCGAGCCGGTATGTAGATGACCTATTAGGGAAGACGCTGTGCTCGAATGCAGGTTAAAGTGGATAAAGCGTAAAAATAGGGAGACAAAAATGACTCAAATGGATCTTGGAATGCCGGATGATTTAGTTGAAAGTTTGACACGAAAAATAAATAATAAAAAGGGTTGGTAATAGGTTTTACAGCAAAGGCATTAAAAATAAAAACAAATGCAGTAAATGGCTCCATGCACCAGCACCAGGGTACAAAATGACAATACTAACCACCGATATCAGGAGCGGAGGACAGCCAGGAACCCCAAACATCCCAAAAGCGCCATCTACAGCAACAGTTTACTCACCGGCCGTCAGGCGGCGCGCCCGTTCCCGATCTCGGACGATGTAGGCCGCGTTGATGAGGAAGAACACTCCGCCCAGCACCTCCACGAACATGGTGATGAACAGGGCGTACTGCATGCTCTTGAACTGGGTGTACGTGTCGACGTCGTCGTTTCCCGAGCTGGGGGCGGCCAGCGCGAGCGATACCGTCTCCACGAGGCTGGCCTCAGTGGCGTTGGGCGGCAGGCCGAGCGTGGAGTTGGCCGCCGCCTGGACGGCCGCTGCCGAGGACGTCGGGTCGGAGGAGGACGAGAAATAGCGCTGCAGGGCGTCCGAGACCTGGCGGGACGGAAGGACTTGTCAGGTGGGGAAGGTGTCAGGCGGAGCTGCGCTCTGGTCAGCCATGGAACATATGACCAATCACCAGAGGTGACAGCATAATCACACCCGAACATGGACATACTCGTAAAAGCATGTGATGGGAGCCATTGGCCGATATAAACACATGTATATGAACATTGAACACACACTGATGGCGCGTACAAAGTTAAAACGCAATGACACTTTGTCAAAGAAGAAAAGAGATTTACGGCCAACAAAACAACAGCTGCTCGTAACACTATACGTCTAACCACTAAGCACCGGTAGACCCCCTCCTTCCGTCCCTCTCCTCCGGTACTCACAATGCCGATCAGGTAGGGACTACCGGCATCTCCGAACAGGTGCGAGGCCAGGATCTGGAACGCCTCGGCCGTGGAGCGGCGCGTCGGTACCACCACGTACTGCCGAAGGGGAGGCGGTGTTAGACAACAGGCGGAGGCACGCCAGCAGTGTTAGACGGCAGGGGGAGGGCGACTCGCCGACCGGGGAACCCGTGAGAGTGAGGCAAGACATGATCAGAGTCAATTCTAAAAACACACCCACGGTACTAATAAATAGTTCGACCGCGATATATAATACCCACGATAGACGTTATGCAGACATGAACCGGATTAAATCATACACCCACATGGAGAATGAAATATTCAATACAATAACCCGATCACAGCAAACAACCTAATACAAACGCCTACATCTAGTCAGAATGTTAAACCGACAGATTGACCAGACACAATCAACAAATGGCATACGTCTAGCCAGTGGCTGATGCTGGCAATTCTGTGAAACAAATGCCGCCAGTCTGTCGGCCGTTAGGCGGCGTTCAGATGATGCCTCCTGCTCAGCTGACTTTGACATGTGATCCCCAATCAATCGAAAATGGGGCTCAGACCAGCACCAGATAGTACCCAGAACGCCAATCCATAGTTGCAGCTGCAGTCATGGTAGTTTGACGGGAGGGTCACGCCCGGGGCTCAGCTTGGTTGCATTGGTTGGGTCGGGAAAGGTCAGGTCAGGTCAAATCTGGTCGGGATAGGCTAGGTCCAGTTGGGTCAGGGTCCAGACCGGTTCGGTAACGTTACGTCGGTACGTCAGTAAGGTGATAGCGTCAAATCGGGTCAAGTCAGCTCAGATCACGCTAAGTCAGACAGGTCAAGTCAGGTCAGGAGCGTTAAACGAACAGCCCCCGCTCCTCTCCACGTCCCAGACTGGTGCCTCTGTACCTCGCCCCCCGATGAGTGCCCCCGACGACTCTCGATATCTCTCTCATCAAAGCGATACCTCGACCGTCCCGATAGCAGCGCAAACACTGGCGTACTTGGACGCTCAGTCCCGCGCGAACCCAGCGTTCGCTGCTACACTGACAGGCTGCGCCCCGACGGAGCGAGACACTCCCGAACTAATCCTACCGCAGTTGGTAATATTGTTTGGAGAGGACTGGATACCCCTGTTGTCGGGGAATAACTGGGAGTGGGGATACCAAGAGACAGTTTACTCAAGATGTAGCTAGGGCCCCAAGTGATCTATACAGTCGGTATTGCGGATAGTGAAACGTTATCGGGGCATACCAGCCAGACAGCAAATAAACGGGGCGGTTCGGGGAACTTGCCGACTGACGACGCCCCTTACAGTCCCGCGCGCCCGTTGGCTGTAACTGAGAGGACCCACCTCTTCACGTTCCACTGAGCGGCTACATCCCAACATATCGACCCGAGTTGCAAGTATATCCTTCCACAATTAATCACCCAACAATCAACAGCTAACATTTTACGAGTCAAACCCCAATTCATGCCACCGAGTCGCCGCACTAGACCAACATTTCGTCAGCAGCCCTGTCCCATCCATATTACATCGAACAGTCGTACCACCACGATCCCCAAATTCCACAGCAACATTAATGAATCAAGCCACCCTCGAAGTCACATATAACGAAACAGAAACCACCTATGTAGGTAAAACGGAAACCGGACGGACTCAATCAATCTTCATGCCCATCACTATCCACTAAATTATCCCCACCCGTCCGTCTCCCTCCTATTCCTCCAGGGTTTGACACTCACCAGCAGCATATCCGCCACGATGGACCAGTTGAGGTTGAGGAACACCTGTCCGATGAACAGCAGCACATACGCCCAGTTGGTGCTGTACTGGCACACGATGGCGCCGCCGAACATGAACGGCATGGAGAGCAGCAGACCGGCAGCACAGACCACCGGGTCAGCGCGCGGGAAGCGCGGCCGCAGCCGGGTAGCGGAGAACGAGCCCAGGGAGACGCCCACCAGGCCGGCCAGCATGGTCACCACGCCGAATATGAACGACACGCTGCCGGGCAGAGAGGGAGAGGGTTAGTTGTAGACGGGGTGGACGATAAAGGGGAGGGGAGTTACAGAGTAGGGCGACACATGGCAGGAGACAACCCAGAAGACCACGCCACAGCGTGTCCGTTTTTCAGAGAGTCAGCTACACAGCGAGCCCCTCACAACACATCCCTCATACCGGGGAGGAGAGGGCTAAGAACGCTGAGAAGCCGACGGATCCTCTGGGCCGCCAGGACTGGCGGTGAGTGGACTCCTCAATAAGCAACAAGTATCGATTTACTTACTCATAGGGAAACGCCCGAGCCACGAGCGATATTACACGGGCGATTAATATGGCTGGCACGAGCTGGCCCGAGCGGAGTTTCAGCAACAAGTCAGCGGCAGGAGCGGCCGGGCCGCCAAGATAGCAGAGCTTATTTCAAAGTTTTCAAAGGTCATCTGGCTACCGAGCCAGGTAACCCGTTGCAGCCACATTTAGTTCACCGCAGAATGATTGGATAGAGTATGATTGTGTAAAAATAGAGCCGTGAAAGTTGAAACTAGCAAAGCGTCCCGCACACGCGATAGGACTTGCTTACATAATCTCTACCCTGTGTAATAAAAGAACATCGTCGGCATTTGAACCTCACGGCTCGCACGCGTGTCCCTCCGTCAGACTTTGTACGCAGTACGCATATCGCCCCACCTGGCGCGGTCAGTGAGAAAGACACGATGCATAGACTGATACACTCACACGGACAAATGGACATCACGTGACCTTAGTCCACAGTGGTACTCGAGTACACTACGGTTGTCACGTGGCACCCTGTGGTTGGGAGGGAGGATGACACGTGATCGGACCGACTATGGATCAGGCGACCAGCACGTAGCCCTTTGGACCCCGCAAACCCAAACTGAACCTCAACAGACACCGACAGACCCGTCCCAGACGGCAAGAACCACGGCTGGTTGGTAGATAAACATCCAGTGACCACATCAGCAGCGCACCGGTCGGCATGGCAACGGTGAGTGATCAGTCAGACCACCACCGAACCGTCGACAGGGTGACTGGTTATAAGGAAACGAACACACGGCGCCGATACAGCAAAAATGACTTTGTTGACGAAAACTTACATAATACGCTGTTGGACTGAGCAGGCAACATTCTGAATTTCTGACAAAAGCAAGGATCTGTGGCGTTGCTAGAAAGGCGAGTCTTTTTGTGATGTGGCCGGATGGAATGTCGCGAATGATTAGTCAAGATAGTGGCCAGCGTGAGAGCACTTGTACGCAATGAATTATACAATAGAGCCATCGGGGAGGACCGTGGAGTACGACATATGCCCGGTACCAGAGTACCGCGCACGTGCGTAGGACAATGAGTTGGCAGTTTTGGGAGCCCGGACTGCAAAGGTCATCGGCGTCCACGCCAAAGCTAATCATGAACGTCATACTTCAAAAACCTCTAGCCCGGTCGTTCAGGCTGGAGGAGGCCACGTGATACGAAACACGGCATGTGCCTCATTTTAAGTACACCTATCCAGAGTTCATTCGTTCCTCTAGTCTAACGAAATGTCATGATGATTTCGATATTTTGAGTAACTGACTTCACTACGATAAAAAAGCACATCTACACACCAAGTCGACTAGCAGCACCTCAAATCCTCCCCATCCTCCACAAGCTGTCAGGACCTGCGGCGTGTTCACTTACTCGTTGATGTCGGCGTTCTCGTCTCCGACCTGCAGCTTGAGGCCGTCGGTGACGTATTTGGGGCCCCACCACGAGAGGGCTCCGGCAACGAAAGCCACGCACGTGAAGCCCAGAGTGCCCAGCACGAAACTCGGACTGAAAAGAGAGGGCGGGAGGGGTCAGAACAGCGGCTAGTGCATTCGCTGTGGGACACATTCAGGTTTGCAGGCCAAAAACGACACAAAACACAGATCGATAGCTTAATGGATATGAAGTAAAAGATAACCCGGCAGTTGCTGGGGTATTTCGCCACCCACCGTTTGCTGGGGGGGGGGGGGGCGTTAAACGCCCCCAGCCGATAACTCGAGAACCAATAGGCGCAGCGAAACGCACGAGGCGGCAAACGAAAGAGCGCGACGAGACGCTTCAGATGAGTACTTTAAAGTTGAATTTTGAGGTCACAGGTCGGGTCAAGGTCAGGTCAAACACCTGAAATCGGGCTTTCAGTAGCATGGACTTCAGGACTTCGCAATGGGCGCCTCTCGCCATAAACTCTGTCAAAACGGTGCACAATCAATCTTATAAGGCCTACAAGAGTGTCAGCTCCATGTAGAGGTCAGTCAAGCATAGGTCAGGGTCAAGGTCAGGTCAACCAGGTAGGCACATATCCCCGAAAATCAAAACTGATATTCGCAGCCTGTGACACATGTTTTATAGGTAATTTGGGGCGTAGAACACGATGGTGACATTCATTTTATCATATGTGTACGTGTTTGGCTCAAAAAGTTCAATTTAAGAAATGCATGTATCATGGTCGTGAAGTAGTCACGAAAAATTGCCAAGATTCAGTTCAAGATTATGGAAAATGCGGAACGATAATCAATAATCGAAGATAGCCATTTGATTGATCATGGTATTGGCAGTCTAATGGCGTTTACGGCATGTCTGTATGTCTATTCTGTGATTTTATATGATTTTTTGAACATATGCCGTTTTTGGTCGAAAACTCAGAAATCATGACGTCACAAAAACCTCGATATCTCAAAAATTTTCCGACCGATTTTTTTTGAAACTTTGTAACAATCAACTTCAATCAATTCCCTACAGGTACCCAAAATTTGGCGCGCCTGCGGCGCGCCGTTTTTATGCTATGGCCCGGCGAAAAAAGTGGGGGCGTTTAACGCCCCCCCCCCCAGCAACTCGCGGGATAATCTGCACAGCAACAATCAATTGTTCGTAGAAGATAGAAGCCAAGGTACACACGGGGCAAAGTTTAGCCGTGTAGTTCACTTAAGACTCCATCAGTAGATTGCAGTAACGGTAATCGATCCCTTCACCGATAAAGAGCACCTGTCAACCTATCAGGCAGTGGGCATTTATCAATCCTGGCCGTAAACAGCTCTCACATACAGTCACTAGGCACCTGTTATACAACCCGCCTCCATCCGTTCGTTACACGGATGCACTAAATGGGCGGATTTCCTCTCATTACCACCTGAGATAGCCAAACGCCACCCACATGACTTCCGACAGAGGAGACACTGTCAGAAGATCCCAAACCACGCCACCGGGCCGCCCGCATCCTGCCCCGCTCTAAATGGCATCAGACCACCCAGTCCCCGCCCTTCACCCCGCCCAAGCCGGATACGGAATCTCCAATGGAGGCAGACGCTCAAACGGGCCTCGCCCAAACGGGCCTCATTGGAGCCGATATTAGCTACTGTTTCTGGGGATCCCGCGGTTGGCTCGATCTCTTTAGACAGGTCCGGCCCGGTCGCTGGCCGGTGGAAATTTACCCGGGGGACGCAGCCGCAGGGGATATGGCCCAGGCTGGAGCGGGGCCAGGTGGTTGACGACACATTGACCCAATTTCTCCAGGGAAGCACCGTGACACTAAAAGAGTTATGGTAGTGTAGGGTTTCCTCCGTAATTAGCGCTTCTGGCTGACGCGGAAAGGCGTCTTCCCACCCCTCCTCTTCACACTCTTTCCTTGACCTCCACATGTCCCTCCCCGACCTCTTATCGCCCCGCCTTCTTTCTGACCTCTCACCCCACCCTCTATCAACCTGGCAAAGTGTCAATACGTCACGCGATGGCGACTTGGACCACCCCCAGCCCGACTACATAAAAAAACAGCTGCGTTCTCCACAAAGCATCTGACACACGCACAGCAGAGACGGGCACCTCGCACATACCTGGGCCGGCGCACGCGTCCGGCGACCGACGCCAAGCCCGTCAGCAGGGCAGGGGTGACCGGACAGGTGGGGGCCCGGCCGGCACCGCGCCAGGAACACAGCGACAACAGCTGACATACCGACACAACTTAGGAGCGAACGGACTTCAGCTGTGAGGCCTTCAGCTGTGAGGCTTAGTCAATGACTAGTGTGAACAAAAGGAAATGTAGACAGGAAATAGTAAATGAGATTTGAAAATAAAGTGTCTTACGAGGAAAATGAACAGCATGTTGCAGAAACGGGTCTTTTTTCCAGTGATCGAGAGGATCGAGTTTTCGCTTTCAGCTCTGTCTTTCAACTGACCACCAGTATGAAGTATACCTACACACCAAGTGGTATATCAGTCCCCAGCTCCGCTCGACCCCGACCTTGGTCGGGCAGCGTCACAGTCGTCCCGTGACAGATTTGCGTCACACAGAAGACCACGTGACATCTCTGCGTCACAGCAGAATCTGAAGGACGCCGCCCGACGTCAAATCATGGGCAGGAGGCCAGGTAGATGCCGGTCTGACATAGGAACTCAGCCGTGACCCAGTCGCGAACCAACCAGAGCCCGACTGTGAACCGGGGTAGCTTTGATCCAGCCGCGATCCACCCGGTTCTGTTTTAACCCGGCGGTCAGCTTTGATCCAGCCGCGATTCAGGACGTGTGATTTAGCCGTAGATATCCTTACCAAAATTGTACGACACATAAATGACATATAACGATTGGCTGGGCCTTTACCTTCTTCGATTAAAAAAGTCCCATCGTACCCAAATTCTCTCGGCGATCACCCCCCCCCCCCCCACCACATCCCTCACTCAATACTCACTTTCTGACGAGGGCCTTGAGGTCCTGCGACCACGTGGTGGGCTGCAGGTTGGACGTGCCCTCACTCTCTCCACGTGGCGGGTCGACCAGCACCACAATCAGCAGGATGACGGCGACGGCTCCCAGGATGGGCGTCACGCGCAGCCCCCACTGCCACTGGCCGGCCAGCGAAGAGGCGCCAGAGCCGACGATGTAGCCCAGACCGCTGCCGGGAGGGAGAGGGGTGGTCAGGAACAGAAGGCGAGACAACATAGAAGGGATGGGAGAAACAGACCAAAGGAAGACGAGACGGGAAGAAGAGGAGAGAGCATGAATGGAAACGAGTATAGTTATTAAACCGAGGGAATGCAGGGGATAATACAGACAGAAGGAACCAACATGAAGAGAGATGATGAATGCAAGTAGATAAAGCGGAAGAGAGGATATATTTGAGAATGCAAGCACACATGAGGACATGGACCATACAAGGGAAAACAAAACAGAAAAGTCGAGACGACAGTCGTGTCTGTCTGCACCACAGCCCGTCTATTGGGCTCAATCACAGGTATGAAAAAAATACGTCTTCCTGTGCAGTGTTAGTCACAGACGTGCCTTGCGGCGGCGTTACTCACAACACACACACTGGGTGCGACTGCGGTGACAAAAAGCCCCATTTGATGACGTCAGTGCAGGGGGATGGGACGCTCCACCGCGGCTACGGAACGGGAAGTAACAAGTAGCAACACTGAGTGGCGGTCATTTCCGGTTTTCCGGGAGAGATTGAGCAGTAGGCAAGACAAGACTGGGAACAAACAGCTGTCACCAACGCTGCGACTGCTGTAACTAATGCTACTGTTTCTGCTACTGTATCCGCTGCTAGTTGGAGTGCACCCTCGTCCTCGGCAGTGCAGTCGTTCTCAGACAAAGGTCCGCAATGGGGCACGATCCACCATCACGGCCGACAAAGCCGCACAAACGGCGTCCAAGGCCCTCGGCGCAGAGCCCGCCGGCTTTACAGAGAGCCAGCGAGAACGGAGACGGCAAATCAGCACAGACGTGCGCAGTTCGCGATGATATAGAGCCGGGACAGAGATGGCGCTTCGCCAGGATCAGGGAGTCTGGAGGGCTAATCATATAAAAGACAGCTGTCATGTTGCGAAGTTGTTGGATGCATATTGCTTGGTTTGATTAAATGCGGAGAGAGTAAGGATTCTGTATCCTCCACTAACCAAAAGCGAGTGTTAAAAGTAACTAAAAACTCTGGGTAAAAAGAAATAACTCGCCTATTGTCTTCAATAGCCTCGCTGGGTTAATACAAATCAGTGAACGCTCGTTGTTTCGACGCTATTATGCTGCGCTATCACACTAATCGCGGTATTGTGTGTACCAAGCGACCATCCAACCTGACAATAGAGATTGAGTCCGGATTAGGTATCAACCAGCAAAACAGACACGGCGCTTCCCCAATCGAACACACGCACTGGCAATATCAGAACATCAGCGTAAGATAGCACCGAGGACGCGTCTCTTCAGCCATCCAATTGATAAACTTCGAGTGTAGTGGCCTGCCGGGGCTATTGAGAGCGAAACGCAAAACATCGCTGGTGCATGGCTATGTGATGGTACGAACGTGCCCAATGTCTCCAGTGATTGAGCACAGATGTAAGAAAGAGTCCTGATTTCGGCCAATTTTCCAGACCCCCGTCAAAAGGTCAGGTCTGCGTTTACATTTCATCGCTGGTGCCATCAACGCCCGAACATACACAAACTCTTATAAACATGTGGAAAAGGAAGGTTCGTGCACTAAAATCACATCACCGAGAAGATTTACCAGTGAAAAAGTACTGCTCTGTCTGTACTAGCTAATAACCATGGTAACCATGGCAACGGCGAATTCGTCTGCCATAATCACGCATCTACGTTGTTATCAGTCTCCCAACGCGAATCAAAAGCTTACAAATATACAGCACACCAGCCCTATAGATACCCAGGACCGAGCACACCGCACTAACAAGCCCTATACATCAAAAACAGCCCACCGACGTGACCAGTGACGTCCTTTTCTACGCGATAACCTCACGCACAAGTGCGGTATGAGTGTCACAATTCGATCACGTCACCACGCACCATACGCACAGGGGACAGTCACGCACAACTGGTGATAATTTGATGCTAGGGGTAGCAGTTGGAGCTATTAGCACCCGTACACAATCGGTGATTCGAGCTGTAGTATGTTTACAGGACGCGATGGTGGACCGTGTCGGCAGGCGCCAGACGCTAGATCAAGGTCAGCCATACCCAGATGGAGAGGAAAAGAGAACGGGAGTGGCTGAGAGCGGTGGGGGATGGGTAAGTTCATCTGTACCACACAAAGCCAGCTGGTGTACGTGGTAGAAGGCTGGATAGACTCCCCGGCAGATGTCGGTTCCCAGGGACCATCAGCGCGGCACGGTAGATAGCCAAACTACACTACCTGTGGTCACTCTCAGACACGAGAGAGGCAATCTAACCAGCGATACGAGGCAAAAACCGTGTAGCACCCCAGAGTCATGAATACCGAGTAACAGCATGACCGACCCGGCCCTGTTGCCGCCGTTGGCCACCAATCGCCGAAATAGCCAGGAAAGCGAGAAAATGTCATTTGCAGCGTCACCGCGGGCCACTGCAATCATCGGCGTGCCACAGGCAGTGGTGTGGACATGGGCGGGGCGGGGCGGGGGCGGGGCGGCGCCACATCCGGCGGCCAGCCATACCAACAGATGGCCGCCAATGCGCCAAATGGCACCACATAATAACGCCAAATCGGATCAAAACCAGTCCGATCGAGGGCAGGCATTGTCGAAAGGACTCCACCTACGATCCTTCGAACAGCATGTTTGATGAGGATATTGGGATGAGCTTATGATGACAGACCGCTGCTGAACTAGTGGCTATAGGCGAAATTGAGTGATGGGATAACAAGAATTGACGGACATAACTATATGTTTCATATCATGAGCGAATAGAATGACTCTCAGGAATCGCGCTGTTACCGCTTAGCCATAACGTCATACAAGCGTGTCCCCTGATGAAAGGACAGCTGATAGGCGCTAAAGCACTGTACAGGCACGTCAATATACCGCACAGAGGACTAGTAACAAAACAAACAGCTCGAAAGGTCGACCACCGCTGGGCCGCCGGGCCGCTACTATGCTAGGCATAGGACAAATAGACGGCATACGACAAATAGACATAAAGGTCATCAGATGGCGAGCGAGAAAGGCACACGTTACAATCAGAACTTACTATTGTTCGTAACTATTGATGTGTTCATCAAAAGTAAGTAAGGTTATTATTGATGTCAGAGGGATCACTAGAGATTGACCTTTCTCATTTAAATTTAACCTTCCATCAGAGGACAGTGAACAAGTTCTCAAGGTGGAAAAGAGACCAATAAAGGAATCGAGTGTGAGCGAGCGCACGAGCGTAAAAGTAACCAGGCAATAGCGAGCGAGGGAGAATGAACACGACCTCGACCACGTCCAGCATATCGGCCTACCTGCCGATGGGGATGGCGAAGTAGAAGACGGCCAGCATGATGGAGCGCAGGTCCTTGGCGAACATGTCGGAGATGAGGGTGGGCGCGATCGTCGAGTAGCTGGCCTCGCCGATACCCACCGCGGCACGCATCAGGATGAACCCGGTGAACGTCTGCGGGTAGAGAGTGGGGAGGTGGGTCAGAGCAGAGGTCAGGGGACAGGGGAGGAGTGAAGAAATAGAGCATCTCGACGGAGCTACTCAAACATTCGTATTGCACAATGCAAGTTCATTTTAAGTAGGTGATCGCTAGAATGGAAGACAATCGTAATAAATCACGAGTCCCGTACATCCGGTGCTGCATAGTGCACAGTACACAACTTAAACTAAGTTTAGGACGACATTAATCTATAGGTGATCGAATATGGGAATCAGTAAATTTAGTTAGCCACATAAACAAGAGCTTGGTAGAGCATCATCAACAAATAAGGCAGCACAAATAAAATGTAAATGTAAAACTAATTTGTGGAAAGAGGCGAGTAGGGACTACCGCAACATCTCGCGGGTTCGACAACAAGCTCAGAGAGAGGGCGTGGCGTAAAAATTACGGAGAGCTGAGAGATAACGCGAAGAGAGATCGGCATCCCTCTCTCCCATAACCGCGCCCAGCCGGCTGCGGCCGCGGCCTCTGCACCACTACCGCTGCAGCCTCGCCCCAGGGCTGGGCCGGCCCAGCACCGCACAGACCCCACCAGCAGCCCGGGGCGGACCGGTCAGCATCCAGCCGGCCAGCATCTAGCCAGCCATCGTTAAACCCCATCAGACACATGAACATGCAATGGACATGGAGCGCAGTGAGGCGCTGTGCGGCCCGGTTTTGGCCGGACCTCGCCGTGAAGCGTGCTCTGCAGTTTTATGCAGGGCGAGGCCGAGCAGGGTCTACGTGTGGATGGTGGAAATCGGGTCATGGCGATTATGAAGGGTCGTTTGTTTTCGAGGTTCTGACACCATGAGGACCGGAAATAAAGCTATAATGTAACTGAAATATTCATTGGGCAGGGTATAGTGTGTGCATAACACTCAAGACATATGACAAGAAGAGCCTAAAACAGTAAATTTTGCACGCTCCGAAACTTTAGTCAACTGGGGGGTGGCTCTGACTGGGATGGGTACCGCGCTCTATCCGCGCTTCATTCGTGATCTCCGTGCTCTTTCCGCAACAAAGGTGACAGATAAAAAGCAGCATAACGTTTATCCCAAAGTGAATGCAGGCTCCGTCAACAGTATAGGGCGAGATAACCGCATCGCTCTGCTGCGGGCATCCTGATGCATCTGCCAGCCAGTTGACCTCCTATCCACGTGACCCCTTTACACCACCCAACCAAGGCGGCAGTGGACCATCCCTTCGTCCATTTGGCATCCACTATATCCACCGTCCAGGCGCCCTTGAGGCCGACCCAGCCGGCCGCTGACAGCGCTATCTTTGGCCCACCGGCCAGCCGGCCGGCTCTGCCACACCTGCAATCTGCACGGAAATCTGCCGGACCGCCCGGACCGCCGACCGTCTCCCAGAGACCGGGCCGGAGCGTAACGGCCTCTGACGTCACTGGAGCAGCACGACTTCTGACGTCACTGGTGACAGTGATGCTTTGAGTGACAGAAAAGCCCAGCGACGAAGACAGTAGGACTGACAACGAGTGACAACAATAACTAACATGATCCGGGGAGTCCGCAACCCTCTGAAGAGAACAAACAAACTAGACTGCTTTCAGACTGAACTATTCGTTTGCCAGCAATTCGGCAACCATAGGCCATAGCCCCAAACCTGAAAACCAAATACCTAATTCATATTTATGCAACTTTAGTCTCGTGCCGACCAGCAACAAATCATCGATACATAAATCTTCTAGCAACGTGACATGAGTTCAGCATCCGTACAGTGTACTCCTTTTTCAGACGCAACAAGGCAGGGCCGACAACGGCCTTGAACCCTAACTGCCTTAGTAACAGCGCAGTCGCAGCCGACCCGCTGGTGAGCCAGATACATGATGCACTTTATGGCATGCATTTTTGTCGCAAATATGCAGTCCTAGCATGGCGACCGAGAAGACGCTCTACGGCCATCGGATCTACGGCGCGTGGTAGTTCGTCAGCAGAAGAATGCATCACATGATGGTACGAGCGTCACGTGACACTACACGCATCACGTGACGAGCGTCACATGCCGTTATACCGTTACGGTGGAGCGTGTCGCGACCACCACATCGGCGCGACAACCGAGCGGCGAAAATAGCCACACGGACAAGGAGCGGACGAGACGCCTACAGCTCGATCGCCGGCGTGCCAGTGCAGCATTGGCTGACCTCGGGCAATGTACCGAAATAGGTGACACCTTAGCACAACGGCTGCATCCGAGGCGGAATATTCAGCAGCGAAGCCTCACAAGTCGTAAGCTGCTTCCGTAGGAATATCTACATACGGTGGTGACAGAACAGTCTGTCAATAGAAAAAACTTCGGCATTCCTCTAACGAAAGTCTGCATCATGCCTGCGTCGAGTACCAGTCTCAACCGGGCGCCAATTTTCCGGAAACCGGCAGTTCTATCCCTGAACTATTTCCATCCTCGATCGAGCTCAGTTTTGGGGCGTGGTTTTCGATGTCGTTCCACTCGGCTGCGCGTGGCCGGGACGCTCCGCCTTCCGACATCACGCCACTGGGCGACGGGCGGGGGCGGGGGCGGCCGTCGGAGCCGACGTTGACGTCATCGCCGCCGCCGCCGCCGCCGCCACGTCGACTGCCACGTGCGGGCGGCGCCCACCGCGGCGAGAGGAGACCGAGCCCGGCACGGCAGAGGCCCCGGTCAAAACCGTTCACCATTGACGTCACAGATACAACACATGACTACTCGCCGACAACAGACGGCGGCGGTCGGCCCGGTCCGTTACCAATGACGTCATAATGACACACAGCTACGCAGGTAAACAGCGGACGGCGAAGCCCGAGGAACGCCGCGCCACCCGGCGTGAGGGCGGGGCGGGGTAGGAGGGGTGTGGGGTGGGCTCCAGACGGACCGGCGCCAATCCCGGCCGGGTCCACCGACTGGAGGGCAGCCGCCGCTGAATCACCCCAGGGCGTGACCGCGAGCCCCGCACGCGAAGTGGGAGGCCCGGGACTATCCCCGTGGGCGGTCCCGCGGCCCACCAGTCAGGGTCAGCGTCCGGCACGGTGCCTCATCGTGCGGAACTCACGGCCCGGCCGGAGTCGAGAACAGGTCTGCGGCTCTCAGCCGATCCTCGGAGGGGGGGGGGGGCTAGAGGCCGGGTCGGCGACCGGTCCCGTAATGAATGCTGGCTCGAGGTGCCGTCTGCAGGTTTAGAGGCGCGATCAGTCCCAAAACAGGATACCACGCCTATGCAGACAGGCAACACGGAATAGGATGATCCGAGCAAAGCTGTTGCTCCGCTTCGCAAAAGTACTCCGCAAAATTTGATGGAGATATCAGGGATACTTGTGACGAACTTGTGACGAATCAGTGACGTACAATTTCAGCATGTTTAGCGAAGAGCAGCTACCTTAGAAAGAAGAAGAAAAAACCCTTGCAAAAAGAGTAGGACCAACAGAAAGATCGAAGTCCAGTCTGCAACAGTCACCAAACGCAACAGCTTCAATCCGGATCGCAGCGGGCGATCGACATATCCCACCCGTCATCGAGCGGACTATCGAGCATCCATCGACCGGGCATACGCTCACGTGCCGGAGCAAACCGGACACCGACGCACATCCTCTCCTCCGAGCAGGGTTGGCAGGGGGTGGCAAAAACTGGTTTTTGCCAGTGGTTTTAACCGGTTTAAACCGGCTGGCAGAAACCGCGGTGGCAAAAACTGGCAAAAACTGGATAAAACTCAGGTGGCCCAAGCCACAACTTTTCTAGTTAGGAATGGATCTGAAAGGTACAAATGCATTTCTGGATGTTAAAGAGATGCACCAAAAATTCTGAAGTTTGCCTCAATACTTATCCCTGCTTAAAATATCTATGCATGTCGGTAGGCATCCACCACAGAATGTATTTCCATGTAGGGGAGAGTGGGCAAAGCGGCCACGGTAGGGTGCAATGCTCATATCAGTGGCAGATACCCCTTCGCACTTCTGATTGTGCAGGACTCACTCTTGCACTGGCTCATTTGTCAACCCCAAAAGGCGTCTTACTGGCTCCTTATGGAAAGCCCATGAAAATGTTTTCAGTTTTTGAGCTATAGAGCACTTCAACGGTCAATGTCACTTCTGTTTGAAAGCATAAAGCTTTCATCGAATTCTCCTCAAAATGTTTCATCTTTAAATCCATGTCTAGGCATATCATTGTGATGGTTTTTAGTTTTTGCCAGTTTTTGCCACTTTTTGCCGGTTAAAACCGGTTTAAACCGGCAAATGGCATAAACTAGTTTTTGCCGGCAAAAATGCCAACCCTGCCTCCCTCGGAACTGACCGGCCCCGGTCCGGCGCCGCGCCGGTCCGAGTTCGTTCACACGGCGGTCACCGGCACGGGACACGCAGGATGATGGGCTCGCAGGGAGGGAGTTGCCAATTGACGGAACGGATGACAATTGACATTCCAACATTTTTGACCGGGAAAGTTGCTCCAGATATTACTAGAGCAGGGGAGATATATTCATAATTGTGAGGCCGATAGCTACTGGGCATAATATCACAGGGCCTCCTCTAACATACCCACTGGGTGGGCAAATACCCACCCAGTCGCCACAATTGCCCACCCAGTGGCGTCGATTTGCCCACCCAGAAGCAAATGCAAAAATAAAGGTCCGGCCGGACGTCCGGTACTACCTTTCCGGTCTTAAGCAAACTGGATGCTGTTTGAAGGTCAAAAAAAGTTTTCTGGTTGCTCGATATTCAGGAGCGTAGCCAGGATTTCCTCAAGGAGGGGGCTAAACGCACAAGGGCGCAAGATAACCCCCTCAAAATCCAAAAAGCCATCGGGTTGCATCCAATATTTTTTTGGATGGGGCCCAAATAAATGGAAAAAATATTCATTAACAAACAATGTTAGAACTGAGGGGGTAAGCAGTATATGGGCCCCTGTTAGACAGGCCCACGAATAGCTTCATAGAGTCGCCAGCCGGTTTTGATGGCGGTCTGAGGACCCGTAGGTCGGATGAGGGTTCTTCAGACCGTCACAGGCCCCTATAGCCCATGAGAGCCTCGTAAGCCGTCTGAGGGTCATATAAGCCGTCTAGGGCCACTCAGACCGACAAAAGGCCCCTTGCACTTGCAGAGGCCCAGTCAGGCCGACGTAGGGCCCTCTCAGACAAACTAAGGGCCCGTTCAGGTCATTTGAGGGCCTCCTCAAACCGATAAGGGCCCCTCAGATCGACAGTGGATCCGATCCGAGCTCCCTCAAACCGATATAGGGTCAGACCAACAGTCGGAACGCATTGATTCTGTTTACACACCGTTGGACCCAAGTTGGACCCATCCCATCCAACTGGCCCCCTGGTTTCAATAGGGCCCCAAGGCTCTAAAATTGGGTCTCTCTTGGCCAAAGAATAACTACTCAGCTGTGTCAAAGGATCTGCCGCAGGGCCTTTGCGTCGCCAAGGGCCCACTGTGTCAGTCAGGGGCCTCTATGGAATAAGGACCCCTGGCTTCCAGGAGGGGCCATGGTCCCTTTGGCCCCCTCCTTGGCTATGCCACTGCAGGTGACAAACGTTCTTTCAGACGACCAGGGGGCAGGGGCCCAGGCGACCAGAACCCCAGGTGACCAGGGGCCCCAGGCGACTAGCTCCCCCCAAGCGACCAGGGGCCCCCTGGGCGACCAGAGGCCCCAGGAAACCGGGGGTCCTCGGATGAGTGCAGGGGCCCATTGGGTAATCAGGGGCACCTCGGGTAACCAGGGCCACAGAAATGAAACTTGAATTGATATAAATTTGCTTCCGAGTAAAATACGTTTTATCCAGTGTTAGAAAAAAAATATCCCGGGGCCTGTGGGGCCCCCATGGCGCCTTCTGCGCTCAAGGGAGGGGGCCATTGCCCCCGTGGCCCCTCCCCTTGGCCACGCCCCTGCCGATATTGGAGTTATCAAGTAATTGTCTCGTAAGTGAAAAGGCACGTACAATAAAGGTACAACCCTCTGCAAGCTGCGTGGTAGGTATCTTTTTTCGACAAAACCGAGAATAACGCGAATACGCTAACGGTCATTCGGAAATCGTAACAGCAAGACGCGCGAGACTCCGCACCTTAGATTGGGCTTATTTTGGTATACATTTTCCATCTAGTTTGACAACAACACACAAAAGTTTATATTTCCCCCCAAAACAAACTTTTGCTTTTTTGCTACGGTAAGAGTACACATTGTTCAGTGACTGAATTAATCGAAGGGGTGGAGCATGGCGCATCTATATGCAATGTGTTCCGACCGACTGATTATCATAACCTTTGAGATATTAGGTATCGGTTTTGTCGAAATAAGAATACCTACCACGCAGTTTTTGCGGAGGGCTGCAAGTACAGCCCTCTGCAGACTGCGTGGTAGGTATCCTTTTTTTCGACAAAACCGAGAATAACGCGAATACTATGCTATCGGGCACTCGGAAATCGTAACAGAAAGATGCGCGAGACTCCGCAGCTTAGATTGGCATTATCATCGTATGCATTTTCCATCCAGTTTGGCAACAAAACCCAAAAGTTTATATTTGCCCCCAAAACGAACTTAAACATTTTGTTGCCACACAAGGCGTAGGTATGCTTTGTTTATTGATAGGCCCTATCGAAGGAGTGGAGCATGGCGCATCTATTTGCAGTGAGCTTCGACCGACTGATAACATGACTTTTGAATTATAATCAGTTTTGTCGGAAAAAGAATACCTACCACGCAGTCTGCTGAGGGCTGTACATGTAATCTGGAACGAATCGCTCGAGCATAACCATAAAACATACGACAAACGTTAACTATCATTTTATTTCCAATAATGGCACAGCTTATTTCGTCTCATCCCCGCAGCCCCCCCCCCCCCGGTAACAGGTTTTGAAATTGGTTGAACCCTGTGGGACCGATTCCCTTCTTCCATATCATGATAAAGAGAGTACACGTTCAAGCTTTGTTACATAGAAATAGCCGTCACTTTCCCCACGTGTCGGCACCGTCCACCGACCCGGCGGGTCGGCGGACCGGTCCTTCATTGTGCAACCACCCTGCATATAACGCACAGGCACTGGCGAATCAGAATCAGAACCACAGTTGGAATACAAGTCTCGGCCCGCTCAGTCGTCTCTCCTTCCGCGCCTCCGCGACAATGGTGGCAGCGGCGGTCGAGGGGACTTGTGCCCCTCACCACGGACCCCAGCCTCTACATCTGCACTGACATCGCAGACTGGTTAGTCCGTGCTCCGTGACGGTGTATCGCCCCTACGTCACGTCATCGACTAGGGAGCTGACCATCCTGGACTCGTCATCGTCCGACATCACCGTCTCCAGTGAGTAGCTCTGCCCGGCAATACCATCTGCCCTGCGGTAACGTCATCAGCTGCCCTGGACTCGCTACGGAGCCCGCCGACAGCGCACGGCTCATCAGCCCGCGCCGTCCTCCTCAGCATCATCGAGTGATGGACACCACCTCGCTGAAAGACTCAAGCTCGGAGGAGAGAAGATAAAACAAAAACTTCAACGCTAAATTCAAGAGAAATTGGCACCGAAATCAAGAAAATTCACCCATTATGAACTTTTGCTGTATTTTCGTCAAAAAGTGACAGTGAAATTGTGCTGTGAAATTTGTTTTAACTTCGATGTGTTTTAAAAACCGTACTGTTTCATTATCCGTTTTCGTCAGTGTTCTGTCGTTTGTTGTGCTTCATTGTGGTTGCTCACCCCAAAATTTACGGAGAAATTGCAAATGCGCTTAATTTTTACCTGCATTTTGCAGTGTCACTTTGACACTTATAAGCATAAAAAGAGCATATTCTGAAGTCGGTATGAACATTCAAATACGTTAATCGTGGTCAATTCACTGAAATTATATTGTATTGATATTCGGCCAGAGATGCCGAGGGCCATGGAGATGCCCAGGGACGGTCCCCGCCAAGAGTGCGGAGGGATCGCCCGGTAGTAGGTGTAATTGTCACGAAACTTACTTATCTGTTCATACCATTTTGTGATACGCTCATATGGAAATTTCTTTCTCCGTCAGCTAAACGTTTCCTCTCTTTGTTATGATCGCTTCGGTTCCCTACGCTTCCCTGGGGGAGGGAAGATAATGTGGGACCGATTCCCTTCTTCCATATCATGATAAAGAGAGTACACGTTCAAGCTTTGTTACATAGAAATAGCCGTCACTTTCCCCACGTGTCGGCACCGTCCACCGACCCGGCGGGTCGGCGGACCGGTCCTTCATTGTGCAACCACCCTGCATATAACGCACAGGCACTGGCGAATCAGAATCAGAACCACAGTTGGAATACAAGTCTCGGCCCGCTCAGTCGTCTCTCCTTCCGCGCCTCCGCGACAACCCCAAAACAAGTGGCTGGATCCGCCCTTGGGCGGGGAAGTGGCGAAAATTTTGCCCACCCAGTGAAAAATCCTTAGAGGAGGCCCTGTAATATCAAAATAAAAGCAACTTATCCAAACGGCAGAGTCGTCGAATTGCATCCAATTGTATGATTCAATGATCGATCCTCCTGAGTCATTCGCCCTGTTTAGTCGCGGGGTTTCGCTCCTGAGCCATCAGAAGACCGTAGGCGCCGGCCCAACCCACGTGGGAAGGTCGCCCGCCCCTCCCGCCTTTCCTCAGACACGGTGCCGTCCCAGTTTTCCGCGGCCGTACGGCTTGCGCCAAGTGCCGCGTGGCCGGCGATCAATCGGCGTCGGCCCCGCCCACACCGTGACGTCACCGCTGGCGTGACTCTAGCGGCGGCCTCTGATTGGTCGGCGAGGCCGGCGCCGCCGGGCTGTCGTGTGATCGCCGCGCGCCGGCCGGCGTTTTACGCGCCGTGAACCGCGATGAGGAATGGGGAGGGGGCGTGACCCCAACCTGGTCCGGTGTGACCCGGGGCTGACCTGAACCTGCAACTGACCTCCCGTATGCAATTCACTGGCGATCCAGCACAGCCGAATGGTTGCACAACCGTCAGATAGACCCGAAAACTGACCGTAGCATCCACGTGTTTTGAATGGACCCTAAACCGAATAAGTACTATACTAATGAGCGTTATGAAATGTCTTCGTTCCTGCCAAATCTGGGGTGACCCCGGATCTCGGTTTTGAATAGCGACCACCAGCCGGGATGGACCAGCGTCAGGACGGATGGCAGGTCGCCCGGCAGCGACCGTGGCCGAGTAACGGATGGCATCACTTAAGTTTCATCCTGAAGCCAAATTAGAAACATCAACAAACTGTTGACCACCAGCCAGCACCCATTTCAGGAGCTATTTTGGGGGTTGGCTACAGATTAGCAGCTGAAGTGCTGGAAATTGACTGTGAAATGAGGATGTGATGAGGATGTGATTCCTAACTCAGTCTTAGGTTGCTCAAAGAGTTACTGGTTTGTGCTTACCTCCATAAATGAGCCAAGCAGTGTAGTCAGTGACCAGATGAACACCCCCAGAGCCATGATCCACTTCCTGTTGTACCGGTCACCGAGGAACCCAAACAGAGGAGCAAATATCATGTAGGAGACTATGAACACAGTCTGCAGCAGTCCAGCCATTGAGTCGTTGACACCATAGTGGTCCTGGATTTCAGTCAGGATGCCTGAAAACACAAAATAAAAGCATGTCAAGGTTTGAGCTTAGCAATTATCTGCAGCAAAACATGGTTAAAAATACATGATTTGAGATTTAGTCTTGTTGCAAAAAAAAATTGAGATAGCAATTGAGATGAAAAGGTCCAGAGTTGGTGATCCAGCTCTGCATTATACCTGAATTTGTGTGTAGAGATTGGCAAATACAAAATGTTTACAGAGCTGCTGCACTTAGCAATTGCACTCACCAGCCACTGTGAACCGGTCCATGTAATTGATCAGATTTATGAAGCAGAGAATAGCAACAGATATGCCTTGCTGGGCTGTTATTCTTCTTCCTCCTGAGGCAGCTGATGATGCTCTTGTTGGAGTAACTTCCCCAGATGGAGTAGAAATGAATTTCACATCTGGGATCTCATTTTTCACAAGTGCTTGCTGTGATATATTTGGTTTGACTCCTCCCTCCGCCATGGTTGTTTCTGATTGACAGGTAATCTTTATGCTTTAGAGTAACACAGAGCAGCAGATACTCTAATTGTGAGCGATCTTAAATATTTAGATTCTGTGGATACTTGTTTGAAAACTTGTCAAATATGAATCCAATTGACTTCAAATCAGGCTTCAGCTAAAGCCGTTGATTTCTTGAACGCCCTTCTCTGTTTATCGAACAGGGAAACAGCAAACGTTTTAAAGTCTCTTCCAAACGATTTTGCAGTTCACAGCGACCGCACACGCCTGGCCACACTCAGGAAGCGTCAAGCGACTGATTCCAGATCCTAGACGGCACACCGGCACTCCCCCCACCTCGCCGTTTGGAACTGGAATGACGCCAACATGGATCTCAAGGATCGATCTAAAATCCAAGCGGTATCGATGTAGGGTATGAGAAAAAGCCATAATATATGACGTAATATAATAATACTTGACAAACGTCAAGTTCATATGTCTTGAAAATAAAGTGTTTATAGCATTTCCTGGGATTTAATTGTATATTTTTGAAACAATTACTAACTTTGTCGGGAAGTATAAGATTTTTAGGAGTAAATCTACAAATGACGTAGTTTGATGCTTGCCCCAGAGCTGAAACATTTTTACAAGACCCAGACCGGCAAAGAAGTGGTAAGATTTGGTAACTATTGCGCTCAATATGACCACGCATGACCACGATTGCAACGTGGTATTTGCGTTTTGAGTTTGGAACTAATTCAATATAAACTGGTTTGGAACATGTCTCCACTTTCAACATTGATTTCTGCGCAAAGAATAGGTACAGTGTAAGTGTAAATGGTGAGCTGACGCCATCTGTTGAATGGTGTATCAAATACCGCAACATCTGTGTCGACTAGGGCGACACCTATTGCCTGCTACACAGTCCACGTATGATAATGGTTGACTCAAGGCGACTACATCACCGACAAACTAAATAATACATCACCAGACACCAACCGTTCACAGTGGCGGTCGCAGGGGGGGGGCCATCAGGGCCATGGCCCCCCCCAAAGGCAAATCAGGGGGGGCCATCATATCATTTGGCCCCCCCCAAACAACCGATGGGCCCCCATGGCCGTATGGGGCCCTGGCCCGTATTCGATTGTCACGAGGCTCGAGAAACCCACGCCAGCTATTAACAGCTCCCATACCAGTCTTTGAGGGTCCTACACTGACCTCTGAGGGCCCTTCAGTGGCGGTCAAGCTTCCACATTGACCGCTGAGGACCCACATTGACCTCTGAGGGCCCTCCACTGGCCTTTGAGGGCCCCTAAACCGGTCTCAGGGGCCCAACCGGCGTCTGAGAGCCTCACACCGGCCTCTGGTGGCCTCATTTCTGTCTCTCGAGTCCCAAGACAAGCCTTTAAGTGTCTCTGAGGGCCCCGCACTGGATTCTGAAGACCCGATGTCGGCCTCTAAGAGCCCGCATCGGCCTCTGGGGGCCCATCTTGGCCTTTGAGGGCCCTCCGCTGGTCTCTGGGGTCCAATGCCGGCCCATGCCGGCCTTTTAGGGCCCCAAACTGACCTCTAAGGGCCCCATGCTGGCCTGTAAGGATCCACATTAGCCTCTGAGGGCCCCCGCACTGGATTCTGAAGACCCAATGCCGGCCGCTCAGGGCACGCATCGGCGTCTGAGGGCCCATCATGGCCTTTGAGGGCCCTCCGCTGGCCTCTGGGGTCCAACGCCGGCCCATGCCGGTCTTTTAGGGCCCCACACTGACCTCTGAGGGCCCCATGCTGGCCTGTAAGGACACACATTAGCCTCTATGGGCCCCGCACTGAATTCTGGAGACCCGACGCCGGCCTATAAGGGCCCGCATCGGCCTCTGAGGGCCCATCTTGACCTTTGAGGGCCCTCTACTGGCCTCTGGGGTCCAACGCCGGCCAATGCCAGTCTTTTAGGGTCCCATTCTGACCTTTGAGGGCCCCATGCTGGCCTGTAAGGGCCCACATTAGCCTCTGAGGGCCCCCCGCACTGGATTCTGAAGACCCGATGCCGGCCTCTAAGGGTCAGCATCGGCTTCTGAGTGCCCATCTTGGCCTTTGAGGGCCTTCTGTTGGCCTCTGCGGTCCAACGCCGGCCGATGCCGGTCTTTTAGGGCCCCACACTGACCTCTGAGGGCCCGTGCTGGCCTGAAAGGACCCACCTTAGCCTCTGAGGACCCCGCACGAGCTTCTGAAGACCCGATGCCGGCCTCTAAGGGCCCGCATCGGCCTCTGAGGGCCCATCTTGGCCTTTGAGGGCCCTCTACTGGCCTCTGGGGTCCAACGCCGGTCCATGTCGGTCTTTTAGGGCCCCACGCTAACCTCTGAGGGCTCCATGCTTGCCTGGAAGGACCCACATTAGTCTCTGAGTGCCCAATTCGGTCTCTGATGGTCTCAAACTGCCCTTTGCAGGCCCTGTACTGGTCTCTGAGGGCCCTAAACTGGCCCCTTAGGGCCCAAACCAGCCTCTAAAGGTCCCACACCGGCCTCTGATGGTCCCATTTTTGTCTCTGGGACCCAAACTGACCCTTATGTGCCTCTGAGGACCCCGTACTGGCTTCTGAAAGATCGATGCCGGCTTCTGAGGACCCATAACGGTCTTTAAGTGCCTCATACCGACACCTCAGTCCCCACACTAGCCTCTGAGGGGGCCCCAAACTGGCCTATGAGGTCTCTACACCGGCCATTGATGGTCCTATTATGTTCTCTGGGGGGCTCAAGCCTTACTTCGGGGGTCACGCAACGCACTTGCCTCTGAAGGCCCGCATCAGCCTCTGGGGCCCTACCTGGGGCCTTTGAGACCCTTCGCTGACCCTTGGGTCCAACGCCGGCCTCTGGGGGTCTGACACTGTACTCTAAGGGCCCCATTGCAGCCTCTAGGCGATAGGTATCGCCTAAGCGCTATCGATGGGCCCATAAGTGTGGGAACCATGGGTGCAGTGGGCGCAGTTGCACCAACAATAATTCTGCAGTGGGTGCAGACAATGTATTCTGCATCCACAATAATCTGGAACAAACCCCCTTTTCTCAGCAACACTACTTTCCATGCAGCACGACAAATTTAGGATATTTTGCCCACTATCCATCTTTCGAAGCATTTGATACTGTAATGGTCTTCAAAGCTTACATTTGTGCCCAAGTAAAAAAAAAGAAGAAGATGAAACGGAACACATGTGATTGAACAGTGAACAGATACGGATGACCCACTGTCAAAAGTTTTAGCACGATGATCTTAGAAAACGGCAAAAAAGTTAGCCGCCTAAGCCGCCATTACTTTTGCGGTAGTCCATTCACAGTTGCGTGAATTATTGACAATATCAATGCTTCAAAATGCACTTATCGGTACCTTTTCGACATGGTACACCCTCAAAGCTCGCAATGAGCCTCCGCTCGCGTGCCGCTCCCTACCCCCCCCCCCCCCGCTTCACCGGCCATGGCCTGGATTTCTGTACCCGTGCACTACGCCCGTGGGCCCCTTTGAGCTAGCACCGGGCCCCCCGGGTCAGCGCAGGGGCCCCTTTGCCAAGTTGGCCCCCCCCAAACTCCAAGTCTGCGACCGCCCCTGACCGTTCATGAACATACCAAGTTGAAAAAGCTAAAAAAGTAGAATCTAAAAATGTTCGAGGACCGAGGTATAGGTTTCCCGTACTTAGAAAATAAAAGTAGGTAGTGACGTGGTGACGTGTAGTATCGCTCAAAGACGTAGCATAGGATTGGACACAAGAAGTGCCTACTTGGGCAAATGCTCATATGCGCAGACACCTACGTAGGGTGTATGCAATACATTTCCTAATATCTACAGAACGACATAAGCTCGAATAGTTTAAAAAACTGGCCTGACCTAGCGTTACCAAACTAACCTAGCCTATTTTGATGTCTCCACTTACTTTGCGCCCAACGTGCATTTGCAATAAACACCTTTGTTTATACATTTGTTATGCCAACGAACATTTACAATCCGTACTTTTGTCCGTAACCCATTTATCATGCATATTCATGCAGATCAATTTGCCTTTCATTTCACAGCCATAACATTTGACTGCGACCGTGCCTGCCAATGTATTTGAGACCAACGCAGCTCGCACCAGCCACCAACTACACAACATGTCGTTCTCTGGGCATGAAGCTCATCTCTAATGAACTGAAACACGGTACAGAACATGATGGCAACACTGAGTTATGGTGACCGGCGCGCAGCCGAACCGAGATTCACAGTTCATGTCCTCACTGCCAAAGCACAGCGGACCGAAGGACGTTCAGCGGAGCCGCGGTGACGTCATAGGAGGACCACGCCACCATGGGATCGGATGGAGTGACGGGCGCGGAACGGCCCAGAGAACAGCAGCGATCCCAGAGCTCCCAGACATCGTCCCTATTGCACAAACTACAGCGACGCCAGCATGAGACATACCTACCCTATGGCACATACTGGGATATCTTGCGCCTCAACACGCGTCGCACGCAAGCTCATACAAACAGCAACTTGCGTGGCCAGGCACGCAACATGCACACGCGCGCAAATGAGCTTCACAGAAAGCACGGAGATGGGCCGCTACTTGGTCTTCTTGGCCTCGATTTTGCGGAAGCGCGGTAGCTCGTCCTTGCACTTCTGGTAGACGTTGTTGAGGTCGAAGGCCGCCACCACGTTATCCTGTCGGGAAGAGTTGCAACATGAACAGTTAGAAACGAGCGCCGGACGTGGTGCGAGGAGTGAATGACAGTCGTGGCTGATCTGACCTGATTGCTGGCTATATTACTGTCAGTTTGGTCTTAGCTTAGATGATAGTTATACAAAAATAAGAGCGGTCCTCCATGTACATAAGCATGATTATGTGCAGAGCAAGCAAAATATGGTCGTTATTTTGGTACTGCCGAATGCCGATACTGCTATCAACATTTTTTACGAACATCATTTTGGCATTCCACTTAAAATATTGCAATGCATTTATCACTTGCAATTTTCACGATACTGACCATTTCACAGAACACAAAACCCCCTTGACCGGACGTTGGAGCCACGTGACTGTCCGCCTACCTGTGTGAACGTAAAGGGCACCAGGCGGCCCTTCTCGTCAAAGCCGGGTCGCCGGGTGACCTCCTGGCCCCCATCGAACAGCACCACGGTCGGCAGCTGGCGGCTGAAGCTGGACGTGCTGATGCGGTACTTCTGGGCGGCGTCCGGGTGTCGCGTGACGTCCACCTTGCCGAATACGAGGTTATCCAGCGCGTACCTGGGGTGTAAAATAAACAAACATGTTACTCGGCGCGACCATGTGAAGGGAGAGGAGCTCAGGTTATCCAGCGCGTACCTGGGGTGTGAGGATACACACAGGCTATCCATCGCGTAACTAGGACAAAGGCCGTCAAATCAGGGGGTTACCTATGTATCTAGCGCATGTCTGAGACATGAGGCAACAACCAAAGCAATAGGTTATATGGCGCGTAACTGAGGGCCACCGCGGGACAAATTACAAAATATGTCAGCTTATCCAGCACACACTTGAGACATGACAAAAAAGTAGATCATAAAAAGCATACCTACCTAAGACAAAACATATACTGTGTATTTTCCATAGACTAGTTTGCGATATGTATGTAGAAGCATTCGTGACGGACTTTCAACAATGGTTAGTAAATTTGTTCCTTGGTGTAAAGTCATGGCCTCGTGTATCTGATCCAGTTCCATGTTTCTTGAATCGTTTCGCAGCTCGGCTGTAACCCATAAACTCCATCATAACCACCATCCCTTCCCTCCATTCGACCCGCTCGTCTCACTCACGATCCCGACAGGCGCGAGAACACGTTGGCAAAGTTGACCGACGACGGGAACCAGGTGGCGAAGAAGCAGACGAAGAAGGTGGTGTTGCGCTGCGTGGTGAGCTGCTCCTCCAGCTCCTGGTAGGAGAAGTAGGTGACCTTCTCCGGCGCTGAAGATACCGGCTCCGGGAACCACACGTACGCCACTGGAATGGGGAGAAAGGGCGGGGAGGGTGGTGAGATGCAACAGGAGACTAGGGGGTGATATGGGGGGGGGGGGAGACGCAACAGATAGGGGATGAGAATACAGTGAGAAGCAACAGGAGAGGGTAGTGCAGTGAGACGCAACAGGGAATGTTGGGGGAGGGGAGAGGGAGACGTGACAGTTCACATGGAGAAACAGCGACAGGTCGTGCGATTACTTACTGCGAAATTATCCGAATGGCTTCATTACCTTACCACATGGGAAGCCCCAAGTTGTCAGTTGGCTGGCACGACTAAACCTATTCAGTTTCACTGTAGCGCTCAACACGCTCCCCCTCCCCGCCTCCCCCCCCCCCGAAATAATCACCAGCTCACATAGTCACGTGACCACAAAATTATTCCAGCGGATGCTCTTTCAATCGCGCAATAAGAGCTACTCTGTGATCCCCGCTGTAAAGTGTATAGCTAAGGCTAAACATTTACCAGCCTCTCACTCACTTCTTCAGGTGACCCTTCAGTACAGGGGACCCAGACGGCCAGACCAAGGTTCGAAGCCCAAGATTCGCATTCATAACCGACGGTTCGTATGCAAGGGCTCGTATCAAGTAAGATTAGTATGAGATGAAGTCTGTAAGGGCGTGGAAAAGATTCGCATCGGATAAGGTTCGTACGTCTGAAGAACGAAGGAGAATAGAGTTCGGTATGGAAAAAGTTCGCATGACAAGGTTCGCACCGTAAGAGATTCCTAGAGTAAAAGGATCGTAACAAACCCTTGCGCAATGCGCTAGTTTACGAACCTTCGTAAAGGAAGCCCCTAAAGTGGGCAGCTGCCACTGCTATCCGTCACTTATCCCTAAATCACTATCCCAGCTAAGATCGCGAAACATCCAGCACACCAACATGACTCAACTCACTAGTGGCCAGCACCAGGTAGATGATGCCCTTCACAGGGTCAGAGTAGAACCAGAGCACCAGGTTGAGTAGCTTCATGTAGGTGTAGGTGGTGCTCAGGTAGGGCAGAAGGCCACGCTGCCCAGTCTTCTTCGTCTTGGCCCAGATCACTACAGCCACGAAGAACAGCAGTTTGCTTTCGTTCTGTGGAAACAAAGTGCCGTGTCAGAGAAAAGAACGCATGTAATTTTATAGCAATGGAGTGTGCTCACTTCAGCATAGCTCTGAAGCTTGAATCACACTTGGCAATCATGCAGTAATGTAATCAAAGTCAATGCATCAAAAAGCAGCGTGCATTTCCAATTTGATGGCCTTACTGAGAAATCACAAAACAGTTTGCAGAGCTCTTTAACAACCCGAGCGCACAGCTCCTTATATCCCTCAACTCCTTGCCACACAACTCACATCAGAGAGCTCGCAGGGCTCTGGTCCATGGAAGACGTACTCGCACACGACCGGCGTCAGCTTGAAGACGAGGAAGGAGCATGCGAGCAGCACGTTCAGCACGTGGTGTGCCGACACCATCACCCTCCAGTCGGACCACATGTTGGACGCTCTTCAGCTGGCTGCGGTGAGAAGCAGCAGTCACAGACGCGCTCCAGAGAAACTGTGGAGAGGGAGGGGCGTCAAATGATCAAACTGTGGCACTGGCGTCTCGTACAGCAGAGGAAGTGTCCTGGAGTCGATGTGGACGAAGCTGTGCTTAATCAGGCCGAGGATTCTGTTGGCCTTGCCAACGGCGGTCGCCGCCTGCTCTCTGAATTTCAGCAGCCTGTCCATCTGGACTCCCAGGTCTCTTCCCATATCTATGTCATCTGTCAACAGTCTTCAATGCAGTGCCCTCGATCGTGTACTCCGCCCGCACATTTTGGCTGCCCAGGTGAAGCACTGTTGTGCACTTGGACGGGTTGAATGGCAGCTTCCACTTGCGAGACCAGGCCGCCAGGGCGTCCAAATCCTGCTCGAGCTTCCTGCAGCTGATCTCGGTGCCAGCTCTGACGTACACCTTCGCATCATCACAGTGTGGCTAAATTCATTTTACGTTGGGGGGAGGATGTGGAAAAAAGGCCGGAAAGGATGTCGTTATTTTCATAAAACTTGACTTTGACCCTTTGTCATACAGTTATGTCACCGTTTTCATATACTTCACGAGAAAATGATGTAGAAATATTGAATAGGTACTTATAGAATTTTGAAGGCATTCTGATATTCGGGAGAGGTTTTTGAGTCGGGTCATACATTCAAATATTTTGGTTATTCGAAGGGTTGTCTTGGCGTCTTTTGAGAGTTTGCGAGGTTCGTGTTTCTCTTGCTCCAAAAAGATTAAGTTCGAGGTTATATTATAAGTTGTGACTGCCGTGAGGATGTCTTTATTTCTATTTTTAGGATGTCATTAAACTTTTCATTATGGGTGGATTTCCCCGCAACATTACAATTTTGGACACACTGCATCATCAGTGAGGAGCTTGCATGCACTCTCTATGCAGCCAGGTAGGTTGTTGACAAAAGCGATGAAGAGCACTGGTCCCAAAACTGTGCCCTGCGGGCTGCGGGACATCACTGCCGACTGGGGTCCAGTCCGAGAATCTGCCATTGACAGTGACTCTTTGCTTCCCCTCTGTCAGGAATGAGGGAAGCCACTCAAGGAGGGGGCCCCCTAATGACCATGTCATGGAACTTCTGGAGAAGACACCACCGGGGATGCACTGAATTGAAAGAGCATCAGAAGTCTGAGTAGGCGACTGTCGCCTTGCGACATCAGCTGGCTCGCCTTCCTCCCTCAGTCAAGTCCACTCCTCGAGTGCGCTGAGAAGCTGTGTCACACAGGAGTGCCCTGGGAGGGAGCTGTGCTGACATTTGGTTAGCAGCTGGCCTGTCACTGTCATGTGCTTGAACAGGGCATTATGTAAGAGTGACTCAAACACTTTCAGTTTCACTGTCACAGATGTCAGGCTGACAGGACAGTAATTGGAAGGATTGCTACACTGATCCCTTTTAATAAATGTGGACAACTAGACCTAGCTTCCATTCCATTCCATTTAAACTACATCCAAAAGCACATAAGCTGCACACATGAAACAGAACATTGCAAATTTCACTCTTTGTATAGGCTGGTAATATGGTTCTGTTTTGCAGTAAAGAAATATAATCATTAAAAATGGTACCTAGGTACTAAATAAACTAGGTATAAAGAGATTAAGCTATTATATAGATATTATATAAAACAATTAAATAGGCATATACGTTCAAAACAAATACACCATTTCAGTAGGCGGAACTATGGTCATGAGTACCCAAATATAGGAACGTTCCCATTTTTGGGAACGGAGTTCCCAAATATGGGAACGGGCGTTCCCATTTATGAGAACGGAAGGCAATTTTTCGGCCGTTCTCCCACTAAAACTCAAAAGTGCATCACGTCTCAAAAAAGTGCACGCTGATTTAAGTGTCTACTAAATCTCCATAAAGTTATCTTTAATCTGACCGTGGAACAAGGAAATTGACCGTGGAATGATATTTTTAATGATTTTTTGAAAATGACAGAATGGTGGAAATATGGGTTATACGACATTTAACATGCAATTTTAAGGAAAATGAAGCATTTTTTAGTTTGAGGTAAAGTATAATAATTTTCGCCTGGTTATGAACTTTCATACTATCGACACCAGATGCTGACAAATGCAAGCGAAGACGCGGACGGTCCCGAGGTAATATTGTTGACTTTTGTGTCGGGGCGGACGACCGCGTGGAACGTGAGTGAATTTACCGAGCTACTGTTGTAAACTCAGTTTAAGCGGTTGAAAATTATCCAGCTGTATTTTATCATCCCGGAAAGACATATTTTATTTGGATGCTAGCTGTTTAGAGTTGTTTTATAAGGAGCGTCATGAGCGTGGTTTTGTCTTCCGTGTTTCTAAGCGTGATCGTTTTGGGGGAATTTCTCTTATATAGCTCGCTCTGTGTGGCTTATTTATAATTTTTATGCTGATTTCGATAATTCCTCGTGCTCATCCTACCAGGCCTTTTGCCACTTACACTCATCAAGAAAGGAAAAAACTAGATTTTCATTGGGACTAGGTGTTTTGAGGGTGTAACATATTCAGCGTTCCCATTTTTAGATACTTCCTTGTACTCGTCAACTATCGGTGATAAACAGACAGGTGCTTGACATGTCTCCACCCTCAGCGCGGACGGTGGATATAGGTATGGAAGACCTTGTTGAACATCGCTGAGCGTTGTGAATTACGAAATCCTGCAGAGGGGGGCGTGCCCGCTGCGAGATCGACGGGAATAAAAGCGCAGAAGACCGGGCGAAACATGCGACGGTCTTGCCGGAAAGGTCATCTGATGATTGTTGCGTTAACAATAATTTGCGGCGTTGGACGTGATGCTTGTTAATGAAAAGAGCCCCTGAAAGGCGTCGGTGAAATCGTTCCCAATTTTGGGTACGCCGTTCCCATAATAAGGAACGCTTGCAGCGCCAGTGTACGAGAGCGTTCCCAAATTTGGGCTCGCGGCCCGGATGATGGACTGCTTTAGAAATAGGGGAACGATTTGAAACTACGATGGGCCTTACAATATCAAACTCTTTCCCAACAATATTGAGACAAATATCAGGCGGTTCACGATCGTTTTATATTTTTTGGACGTCATTTAACGGTTCTTTTTCTTGTTTTAAATAATGCCTACATGGCGTTCCCATATTTGGGTTTATCGTTCCCAAACATGGGAACGAAAATGCGTTCCCGAAAATGGGTACGCTTGACCATAGTTCCGCCTACTGATTTTTCGCCAACCAGCAGCCGCAGCCACGAGGGTACTTAGCCTAACCAAACTTAGTCTCAGCCTCTGGGCCGAGAGAGCAGCGGTGGCCGCAGAGCACTTCAAATGGGCATTGTTTAAACACCTAGGTATTTGAAATGTATTCAAGAATTTCCATATCACACTGTATATATGAGTTAAGAGGAATTATATATTTATTTTATACTAGCACTTACAGATCAAGATACATTTTGATGCATGTCTGCCCCCTCCCCCAAACGTGAGAAAAATGTGAATTTCTCAGCATCCTTTCCTGCCATTCATCACACAATCTGTTCGACCCAATTAAAGAATCTAAAGAAGAGATTTCAGAAATCAAACCACAACTTACCTAAAAAATATATAGAAAATTTCACTTAATTAATACAGTTGTTGTTCTGGGTTAGGGCGCGTAGCAGAGCTTAATTAATACAATTTGAGAGAAATCCAATCACCCACGGCACAAAAACGCCACTGCCGCTAAATGCCTAAAACAGTGTGAACCTGTTCAATATCAGCTGGGACCAGAAAGCGTGTGGCTAATAAAAGGGAATTGCCTAGCAACTCGAGATTTAATTATGCAATTGCTAGGCAATTTGCGACGAAGCCTTCAGTTTTCTGACATAGGCAGCGTTCCTGAACAGGTTTCAGCGAGATTAGTTCGACGCAGCTGCGTTGTATTTGTACAAAATATTATATCATATACTATTTCCTAAGATATTTTGTATTTTATTTCAATATATTTACCTTGAAAATATGCGTATCCTATAACACAAAAATATCTCCAAACTATTGCAGGACATCTCAACGTTGAGGAAAATATCTTCATTCTCGACCAATCAGCTGTGCCCCAGCTGGAAGCATGACCTTCGGTCACAGCGCGCCGCGCGAGGCATTGTTGCCGTCGGGCCGGTGCCTGACGGTTGTGTGTGCGGTGCTGGTCGCTGCAGATCAGCGATTATTTCAGTGAAATCATATTCAGACTCGTATCGCTGAACTGCCTGTGAACAAAAACATCGTTTCGGCTATCAGTTGGACTGACCTCGTCCTCAAGGCTCAACCTCGGACCTTTCTGGCTGATAACTGACTAGTGATTTTACATCTTATTCCGAATCCGAACGCCAACGGAGTCAGAATGACGATCGTCAGTGTTCTCACCAAGAAGGCCACGGAAAACGACGACGACTACGACCTGCGCGTGCCACTGCACGAAGATGCCGACTTTGACGACGGCATCACGTTCCGGGCCAAGCTGATCGGCACGTTGGACATCCCTCGGCCAACCACGCGGCTCGAGATCGTGTCGGCCATGCGCCGGATACGCTACGAGTACAAGGCCCGCTCCATCAAGAAGAAGAAGGTGGAGATCACCGTCTGCACCGACGGTGTCGAGATCATGCGCAAGTTGAAGAAGCGCAAGCTGGTCAAGATGACCAAGGACGAGCGCCAGGACCTGATCACGCTGCTCCCGATCCACCGCATCTTCTACGTGTCCCACGACTCGCAGGACATGAAGATCTTCAGCTACATCGCTCGCGACCATCAGTCCAACGTGTTCAAGTGCTCCGTGTTCAAGGCCTCCAAGACGAACACGGCCACTCGCGTGGTGCGCACCATCGGGCAGGCGTTCGACGTCTGCTACAAGCTGCACGGAGACCGACCTCCGAGTCTGTACAGCTCGTGCGACGACCTGGGTCCGGCGCTGCAGCCGCTGGCCCGGCCGCTGGGCGACGACGGCAGTGACCGGCCGACGGGCCTGATGACCTCTCCGCTGGCCGACCCGCTGGGATCGGCGCTGACACTGCCCGAGGCCGGTGCGCCGCTCTCGCGACACCACGAGTGGCAGCTGATGAAGGAGCAGCTGGAGCAGCAGCAGTCGCTCACCCGGGAGGCACTGGAACAGGTCAGTTACCTACCTAACGACACACGACCGGCCCCGAGCGGGACTGTCCGATCAACATACCTCTGTTTTGTGTGTGTCCTTCCATTTATTCCCTTCAGTCACCCATTCATTTGTCATTCATTCTTTGGTCATTTACGTAGGTCATTGAAGGAAGTAATTCCCTCACTTCTCTCCTCGCCATTATCAAACTCCGTGCTGGTGCAGCTCATGCAATGTCGTGTGGCTTTTGGAGTCATCTCGAGATAGCCTCAATGCGCCGGTGGCTATCCGAAAAGTCCTCATCTTAGGGGGCATCGGATGACCGCTTTGTGCGGCCGTGTGCCCCAAATCCCAAATCCCAGCTCGCTATCCGTACCCTAGATCCCGGAGCTCCTTCGAAAGTTCGACAGTAAACTCCGATTTCAGGATTCGGCAGTGTTCGGTGGTCCGTTTACCCCGATACACATGGTCCAACACAGGGTGTATACCCGTGCTTGGTCGGGGCTGTATGTATTGTTTCGTGACCCAGGACTGCTTCACGATTCTTTCTCTGTTCCGTGACATTTGTAGGATCACACCTGACGTGCCTGTGGAGCTGGTTTGTTGATCTTTCCAGCTGTAAGAGTATCTTTCTCCCCATACGTTCGTGCAGCTCATTTCATTGGTGATCACCCGCCATGCTAAAAGTACAAGTTACCCTCTCTGGGGCATATCTTTCAGTACCTACCTACCAAAGCCGTACCTACCAATGTCATTCGGTCTGTGATTGAAGATCTTTTGGCGTTTCGTGGGACAGCCGACAGGACACGCACTATTACACATGTCCCGACCATCAGGGAGAGAGTTGCGCTATGGTAGTTCGTAATTGCCGACCAGCGTTTTTTGGACGGTGAAATCAGACAGTAGAAATCAGACAGTGTTATGGTGTAGCGACGTAATGAATTTTGCCTATTTGGGGTACCCGAACTATTTGATGCCGTGGTTAAGTGGGTACCTACGAACTAATTAAATAGATAAGGCACTAAAATGAATGGTTTCGGCTTTCTTTCTTGGGTCATTTGCTAGGTCGGCAGTCGGCGGAAGTTGAGCGTACTTGATCTGTCATTTGATAATCCTTGACCATTTGTGACGACTACTATCAAGAAATGCGACAGGTATGCCGTAGGTGCATCTGTCATGTTTTCCATGCCTTGACGGACTTGACTAACAACAAGTACCTATGACTAATGGTGACATTTGCGCTGCATGTCCATTCATCCTTCGACAATGTAACATTCCGAGTAGGCGACATTGGATTTTCATTAGACGATAGCCTTTTTAGCTCACTTACTCCCTACCTGGGCGACATTTTCTTCAGTTGTTCTTTATCGCTCGCCACAGGTATTCGCACCGCGCTACTGATCGATGACGTAGGTACCTACTGGTTCACAAAGGGCAGTCCGGACCCACTTTCCTCCCCGGCCGGACCCTGTGACCCGCGCTATGACCCGCCTGCCGTCGTTCTGTCGTGCTATTGCAAAATTCGCTTGCCTCCAGATCAGCCCTGTATGTATGCAGCTGAATACTAAAGGAGGTACGGCGACGGCGTGCCTTCAGGTGTCCGCCACTTTCTCGGTTGTAGCTCGTATCGCACGGACCTGGTCAGGCCGGCTTTCACAGCTCATTAATTGAGACTCCGTGTTTTTTTCGTGCACGAACAAAGTCGCTATTCAGTGTGAGAAACCCACCGTTCCCATCAGATCGGTGGCGCATGTGAAATCGGTTTCGGTTGTGGGCCAAAAGAAGCACGTTTCATGCATTTGCACTCAGCTGGAGTAACTTCGATATCTGTGAGAACAGTCAGTAGTTGTGGAGCAACTTTGATTGAATAAGTCTTTAGTTTGTGGTTGCAGTTCTCTTCTCGTTGATCACCTACCTACTTTGGTCATCTGCTTTGTTCGCTGAAGATCGCGTCACGATCTTCAGAACTCATTGCCTTGAGCAGATCAGAAACTCCGGCTGTTTTCTACATGTCTGCCACTACCTCAATGAGTAATTTACTTCCGACTGCAGCAGCCCGTCATTTCTGTCACGCACGCGCGCGCTCGTGCGCTGACTCACTGCGTCTGACCCTGTGCGGATGGAGAGTGAATGCGGGGCCCTGCACGCCATTCGGTCGCAGTGTGGCCGCCGCCCCCGCCGCCGCAGCCGTCTTGGAGCTGGCGGGGGCGGCGCGGTGAGTCACCGCTCCCGCCCCCGCCCCCGCCCCCGCCCGCAGCTCAGTGGCAGCTCTGTCCAAACCGGTGGGATAAGCGCGGCCTTGCCGGTGGTAGGTCATCTCGCTGATTCTCGCTACAACCGGCGAGCTTCCCCGAAAATCCCGATCCGTTTGAGGCTCAGCGTGGGATTAGTTTGATCTCATTCAAGGTACACGCGCACGTGGCCTGCCCCGAGTTCACTCGGGATTTTGCTCGGAACACGCTCTGAGCTTGTTCACGGCTCGTACTTATCTCGCTCGAAGTTCGTGCAGAGATGGAGCTTGATCCTAGTTCTGCTCGGTGCTAGCTCGTAGTTTGATCAGAGCTTACTCGGAGCTTGCTTGGAGCTGGCTCAGGGTTCGTTCTCGGGGCGACTGACCGGTGTTTTAGGGCGGTTATCGACCCCGCTGTTTGGCGCTGACCCCGCGCGTTCAGCGCTACCCTCAGCATTTGTCGTCCGTTGACCGCGCTGACCGAGGGCGCTGATCAGCAGGACCACGGTATCGGAGGGATGTAGTAGGCAGCTGGTTCCATACGGGCACGATACACGTGGCCCGCACGGGCTCGGACACGTGGCAGGCACGGGGTAGCGAGGTCTGACTCGCGGCGTCCTTCCCGTGGCACCTGGCGGAAATTCCAGGCGTGCTTCGCGACCCCCCCCCCCCCCCCCCCCCACCCCACCCCAGCCTACCTACCCTGCGTGGTCGATAAGATCGACGATAGAACGCGGTGAAAGTTCATTCACCGGTGTTTTTGGACACCCACATGCCTGGCTGATTAATTTACTTAGCTGCATCCATCCCGCATGCATGTCCAGCATTGATGGGGCGCATGTCATTAATGATTGAAGTAGACCGAACCACTTTGCCTTGTTTTCCTTGCTCGTTTTACCGCTGTGTCCGAGCGCACTGACCGTGTTAATTGGTTCTGTCCACTTACCGTCCGCCGACAAACGGACACTATTCCTGCCATTGTATCCTATTCACCATGTCCTTGGTCGCCATGGCACCATTGTAGCCGCCCCATTGTCCTGGGTACGGCCCGTTTTGCGTGCGCCGTGACCGGGAATATTGGAGGACCTGACTCGGCGGCGGCGGCGACCTCTGACCTCACGGCTGTGACGTCATCGGCTCATTTCCGGCGCTCTCCGCCCGGGGCCGATCGTTTCCGCCGGGCTCAGGTGAACTCCGTGACTCCCTGAACGGGCGGCTGGTATGAGAGCGTGGTTGGTGCGGTGGTCCCTCCTCGGCTGGGGTGTGGAAAACAAAACCCTTTGTGATGTGTTTTTCGAGTACCAGCTGCTCTCTTGCTGCGCCGATGGGATGATGGCCGTCCTGGAACCACCCGTCTGCGGCTCGTTTATCAGAGTGTCGGATAATGGGTTCCATGGAGGCCGCCATGCTGTGGTCTTTTCACTCTCCCCGCGGCTGGCCGGTGTTCCTCCAGCCGCCGCTTTCAGAACCCGCTGTCTGCCTGTCCGCCCACACCCCTCTCCCTCGCCCTCGCCCTCGCCCTCGCCGGCCCTCCCACTCCACTCCCTCCCTTTCTCTCTGTCCCGCGTTCCTCACCGGCTCTCGGCCGTCTGAGCGGCGCCGCCGGACGGTTATCCGCTTATCGGCACCCCGCGGACTCAGAGTGGCACCTCGGGCCGGCTGGGACACCTTCCTCAGCTGTTCGACCGCGATCCAGCCCGGTCGGACCCGCGATCCAGGCGGGGTAGACCGCGATCCAGGCGGGGTGGTCCGCGATCCAGACGGACCGGACTCCGTTCGGACCGGGCGGGACCGGTTGGGCGGCGTTCCAATGTGACGGGCTAGGCCCTTTTTATGGTCGTCCGCGTTGACCCAGGACGGTTTGGGGATTGGGCTGGGCCTGTGTTTTCTGTTTCGTATATCTGGATGGTGTTACTGAAGGCAGCTAATTGAGAACTGTCTTCAACACGCGACTCTGGTCTATTGCAAAAGTAAAACACAAATCTAACGAATAGTGATTTTACTATCCAGCACAAACCCTCGGTCACGAAGGATGGGACACTTGAGACAGGGTGACCGGTCTCTCGCATGTTTCTCAATTGTTCGCCGGCATGTATTCTACTTTCTAGAACATCCTTGTTTCGATGTTGATTGCTTACATCACAGCTAATGACTGGTGAAGGTAGTTAATGTCACTCCCGTGCTGTCGGCCTGTCTTCTTATCCGCTGGCTTAGGTCGTTCCATTTTGTAAACAACATACCATGGCCGTATTAGCATTTGTTGATCGTCCAGTCTTTATATAACCAACCGTGCTTCACCAGCCGGTTTGCTTCTGTCCGGGTTATTCCAAGTTGATTTCATGTTTCCCGGTATTCCGACGTGAAGCGGCCGGCTGCTAAAGTTCACCCGCCACCGGTCTTGTTTTCGGCTTCATGTGTTTGTCGATGTTGTTTTGTTTTGTTGGTCGCCGTGATAGTTTGATTACCGTCCTTATAGCGGCTTATGGTGGTGTTTTTACGTCTGGTTTTATTGTCTGCGACTGCCGCCCGTGTTTTTGACGCTCCATTGTAGATGGAGCGGATCCATCAGCCCATTACCACAGTCCCGCCGGTGCCCTGTTTTTGTAAATGTTCGGCACCGGGGCTGGGCCGTTGTGTCTGGGGCCAGGACCAATCCGCCCGGCCCCGGCCCGGCCCGGCCCGACCGACCCTAGCCGGCCGCGCAGAGGACACCTGAAGGTCAAAGCTGCCTCCCAAATCTCCAGTCCTTCGACTGCCTGGTGACCGAACGGGCCCGTCAGTCCGATGGTCAGACTGACCAGTCTAACTAGGCCGTCAGTCTGGCCTCAGTCAGTCTGGCAGACAGATCAAGTCATTGATCATGCACAGCCGCCAACAGCGGCCGTTTTGCCTATGCTCGGCAGGGGTGTCGCTGCGTGTTTTGTGGCGACGAGGGGTCATGTCCTGTCCTCAATCTCAGGGAGGCCGATCCTACCGGTAAAACAGTCTCGTCTGTCTGTCGGCATTCGGGCTTGGCTATCAACGGTCGAAGCCATCGCGGTCTCCGATGGCGGCCATTGTTCGATCGTCCGACAGTCGATCGATTGTCCTGTCTCGTCTGATGGCTGTTTGATCGTCTGTCCGAACCGGGTCTGATCTGCTCTGATTCTCTCCCTAGCTCTGGTTTCCGGCGTCGGAGTCCAATCCCCCTGCCCGGCGCGGGATGTTATTGTGGCCCGGTTCCCTGCCGACGGCACCTGGTGTTTGTGAAATCGGACCTGTCAGAACTGATTGACGGCTGACCTGAGCCGCTCCTCTGCTCGTGCTGACCCCTAGCGACCCCCGACGAACTCCGGCGACCCTTCATCGGCCCCTGTCAATCGGTTGAGGGGCTCCGTGTAGCTCATTCAATGCGTTGGGGGCCTCATTCGCAAATGATTCCCCGCATACACTGAATGGTAATGGACGGCAGTTCCATGTCTAGAAATCCCGCATACGTTCATCTCTGCTCGAAGACGCATAATCCGTCACGGTGTAGGATTGTTAAATATGCCATATATTGATAAGGAGCACTGGACGCTGCTCAATATGCCAGCATAGTGATGCAGATTTCCGTGTTGCCAGCCGGGGCACAGGGATTTATGCTCAGCGTTCCATGGATGCTTGCATTTGCACTTGTAGTCAAGTGCCGTTTAATTTGATTCTGCATATCAGCTGATGTGCTGCCTATGAAACGCGACTATGTACGGTCATGTTTCAATGACCAGGGAGTGGCCTCAGCTGACCACTGTTTGTCAGCTGTGCTGTCGTGCCACTGACAGACGGACTGACAGACAGACTGTCATGTCGCTAGACGACAAGACACGGACGGGGTAGTTCCCGGCGCTGTCCCGCTTCTTTCCTATCAGCCTATCACCCCACAATATACTATAACGGGACCGAACTCTCGGTAAAACTCCTGGTGACCGTAAATCAGCCTCAAAGCGCCAACCAGCCAGGAAAATCAGCATTCGCCGATTTACCTTGCTCGGCAACTATCCATAGCGGCGAACCTTTCTAAATAATCGGCGGCGGCGTCCCTGCACGGTAGCGTTTTTCGCGGCGGTCACTTCCCACGGCTCGATATGGGCCGGTCGTGGCTGGCCTGCGGGGTTTGATGGTGAAGTCACCAACCCCGTGGGCGGTCCATGACTCATTTGGGTCCCGCTGAAGTCACAGGTCATGGCTGGTGAGGCGTGATTGTAGCGGTTGGGATCCGTCTGGTCGAACTGCGGTCCTTGGTCCTTGAGTGATAACCGGTGGTTGGTGGGCGTCCCCGTTGTCTTGGGCCTCACTGGCTGATCTCAGAGAGTCCACAAGTGTGCGTTTTACAACGAACCCAGGTGTTCTGTGATTGTCCGTGCGCGTCCTCACATCATCCCCAGCGTCCTTTATAGACTATCCCCTGCGTCCTGCCATCCCTAGCGTCCCTAGGTAAGCGTCTTGACAGCATTCCCAGCTGTGCACGCGCTGCACACGTGTCCACCCGCCACCATCCGGCTAGGTCCGCCGCTGGCCGGTTTACGGACATTCAGTATCGATCTCTCGCTGTCGGTCTGTGACGACGCCACACGGGCGTAGGGACGCTCCTGCCTACACCACCTGCGCCGCGGACGACCGGCGCGCGCGAGGCGGCGGCGGCGGCGGCGGTGGGTGAGGCGGGGTCAGGGCCGAGTCGGAGTCCGAGTAGTGGCGCTAGAGTCAGCCGAGTTCGAGTCGGCTGGCGCTAGGGTTGACTCGACGTTGAGTCTCCGTGGGGACCAAGCTGCCACAGGGCGTTCACCGAACTCACCGCGCAGTCTGAGTCACCACCCAGCGAATTTCCGGTGTTCAGTTTCCTCAATACGCCAAGCAGCACGCAGACTCGGTGGGCGGTGTTGACTGTGGTAATGGCGCGGACCAGTTGTGTGCGTCGGAACAAACAACGGACGGTGCCAGGGCCCTGTTGTTGTGGAGTTTAACTTAATGCGGCCCACTTAGCTGGTTTTCCATGGCGTTGGAGGCTTCACGAGTTTCGTCGCATAGTCCTATTTTATTTTAAGTTTAGTCCGCTGGCTACTCTGCAATGACTACCACACTATTCTAAACCAGACGTCACGAGAGCTCTATCCCGCCCTATCCCACCACCGTGTCGGGACGCGTGTGTGTGTGTGTAGCGTGTCGTGCCGTCTGATATCCTGTGTGCCGCGCCCCTCCCCTCCCTTCCTCTGTAATGACTGCGCCGGCGGGGTCGTTAGCCGCGCCAATCGGCCAGCGCCAGCGACCCGGGCGGCCGGGCGTGTGACCTTGTCTGGCGACGGCACAGCCGGCCGGCCGGTGCGCGGTGTGTGCTTCCCTGTCCGGAGTGCATGGGAGCGGCGGCGGCGGCGGCGGCGGCGGCGGCGCGCCCCCGCTTCGCTGGCGTCCCCGACTGCTGGCGCCGCGCCGGCGCGGTGAGCGTTTTCCCGGCCCGGGCCAGCGTCCCCTTCCGTGTCGGTGGTCGACGTTTGCGTGTGAGCGGTAATGAAGCCGCTGTTGTGGTGGGACATGTCCTGTGTCTGATGGGTGGGGCGCTGCCCTGTGGGATGGCATGCAGCTGTGGTATTGAGTCGGTGACCTGACCCGAGAGGTATTGTGAGTCGGTGACCTGACCCAAGAGGTATTGTTAGCTGTCGAGGCAACCCGAGCCAACTCATGGTGTTATTGTGAGCACTATTGTGATTTGGTTATCTGACGGCCCTATGACCCGTGCTTTGTGAGCTGGTGACCTGACCGCGTTCTTCTTTCTTACTCAGGTGCACCTGCTGCGCGACAAGCTTCAGTCGGAGACCACCGCCCGTCTGGAGGCTCAGTCGCGCACTCACCAGCTGGCCTCGCACAACCGGGCGCTTTTGGCTCACGTGCGGCAGCTGATGGCGCAGCTGCGTGCCGACGACGTGGAACACGAGCTCGACCTGAGCTCCGCCAGCTCGGCGAGCTCCGCCAGCGTCAGCTGCGAGGAGCTGCACCGAGCCGTCTCCTCCAATGGCTCGTCTATCGACGCCGAGCTCTGTATGATGAGCGAGGCCATCGAACAACTCGAGCGGGAAGGCTGGCCGGACGAGGATGGAGAACCGGAGCCGGAGCCGGAGCCTCAGCCGGAGCCGCAGCTGGTGCGGCGGCCGCCCGTCCTCCAGAGTCCTCTATGAGGACGGGGGGAGGACCTGCCGGAGCGGACGGCCCGACACCAGAGCCTCGCGCAGGCGAGCTTCTCGGCTGTGGGCCGTCCGCCGGGCGCGCTCGCCCGATGCCACTGCCCGGTGAAGCCTGTGTTCATATGATATGCTCGGAGCCGGTGGTGGAAAGACTGGCGCTCGCTCAGGACTCGACTCGATGCGCGGTGTTGTAGTGACGTGACGTGACGACGTGACGTGACGTGACGCGGTGTTGTAGTTTAGTGACGTGATGCGCGTGACGCCGGTGGCGCGGCGCCGCGAGATGTGATCGCTGTGGCTGTTGTTCCGACATCGCTCCACTCGGGACTGTGTAACTGTGTTAACTGTGTGCTGATGTGCGTCCGCGCCGGTGAATATATAATGCATTGTGTGTGTATTAAAGTGGTCCTAACTTGCCGTGCGGAGTGAGCCGTGTATGATACGTGTAATGTGTTAGGCGCGCTCTGGCTCGCCATACTAACCATGGGATGCGATCCAGCGACCGGTCGTCCGGGCGACCGCCCGGGCGACCGGCCTGGCTCGGCGGGATGTACAGTGTTGCATACATATCGAGACTATAGAGGCTGAGTGAGCGGAATAAATACATTCGTGATCATCTCCAGGCCAGTTTTGCGCCGCTGCGAGTCGATTTCTGAGGCAGCAGTGACTGGGGTTCGTGGAAAGTCACAGAGCTGAGGGTCACGGATGGGGTAACTGTGCGGGCTTAAGGGGACACAGGGTCATCCGAGCTGTCAGTGACGGACATTCACTGCGCCTAGTGACAGGCCATAGGTCCGGGAAAAGGAGACGGACGCTCCACGCGATCGGGACGAGCCGGACATGGGGGTTGACAATATGAACTCACTTGCCATTAGTAGTGTGCAGAGTGGTTAAACTTCGGCGACCTTATCAGGTCATTAACTGAGTCGGCATAGGTCCTGGTAGACATACGTGCATGTGATGAGATGCAGCTCGCAGACCGTCCGTCACGCAGGCGCGCTAGACCCGTCATTAGATCCGTCACGCAGGCGTTATGTGACGCGAAATGTCTTTCAATGAATTACATTTTAGGCCTGTGTATGCGGTTGGTATATACAGAGGTCTATGATTAAATAAATAGATTACCTTTTACGCTATTCATTGCGATTCATATGCCTACACAAAACACGCACTGTTTTTTTTTTTTAACCCGGCAGTTGCTGGGGTATTTCGCCACCCACCGTTTGCTGGGGGGGGGGGGCGTTAAACGCCCCCAGCCGATAACTCGAGAACCAATAGGCGCAGCGAAACGCACGAGGCGGCAAACGAAAGAGCGCGACGAGACGCTTCAGATGAGTACTTAAAAGTTGAATTTTGAGGTCACAGGTCGGGTCAAGGTCAGGTCAAACACCTGAAATCGGGCTTTCAGTAGCATGGACTTCAGGACTTCCCAATGGGCACCTCTCGTCATAAACTCTGTCAAAACGGTGCACAATCCATCATATAAGGCCTAAAAGAGTGTCAGCTCCATGTAGGGGTCAGTCAAGCATAGGTCAGGGTCAAGGTCAGGTCAACCGGGCAGGCACATATACCCGAAAATCAAAACTGATATTCGCAGCCTGTGACACATGTTTTTAGGTAATTTGAGGCGTAGAACACGATGGTGACATTCATTTTATCATATCTGTACGTGTTTGGCTCAAAAAGTTCAATTTAAGAAATGCATGTATCATGGTGGTGAAGAAGTCACGAAAAATTGCCAAGATTCAGTTCAAGATTATGGAAAATGCGGAACGATAATCAATAATCGAAGATAGCCATTTGATTGATCATGGTATTGGCAGTCTAATGGCGTTTACGGCATGTCTGTATGTCTATTCTGTGATTTTATATGATTTTTTGAACATATGCCGTTTTGGTCGAAACCTCAGAAATCATGACGTCACTAAAACCTCGATATCTCAAAAATTTTCCGACCGATTTTTTTCAAACTTTGTCACAATAAACTTCAATCAATTCCCTACAGGTACCCAAAATTTGGCGCGCCTGCGGCGCGCCGTTTTTATGCTATGGCCCGGCGAAAAAAGTGGGGGCGTTTAACGCCCCCCCCCCAGCAACTCGCGGGTTAATTCTAATGAGTTTGAATGAGAGCTATGAATAATTGAACAATGGAAACTGAGAAGAGTCGTGTCACTTGCAACGGCAGAAAGCGGTGCACACCAAGGTTGTGTAACACCGCCTTTGTTTTTTTCAATACATATCTGCAAACTGAGATAAAGCACTGCAGCAAACCTCGTAGTAAAAAATAAACAGACTGATAGCGATCACGGCAGACGGAGCAGCTGCAGAGCCGAGAGACTGGTTTCTGTATGAATCAGACAGAAGACAGACAGGCAAGGTTTATTCTATTTTGGACGCGCGCTTCGTGTAGGGAAAACGGCAAGAGACGCTAACTCGGCCCCAATCCGACTGTCACGATCTATGATGAGGAGTAGAAATCTAGTGTGATACTCCTAGTGGCTTATGAGTTATGACTACGTGCAGAATGGATATTAGCGAATACGAATAACGAAAAGCTTCTTGCGTGGATAAGTTACTGGTAAAGTCGGGTCAGTTACAACTTGCAAGAGGACCCGAGGCATCGCTGTATCGTTCTTTCTTTAAGATACTGCAGGTGATATTACCTACATAGGTTATAAGAACCTTTATACGAATGCATCATAAAGCCCCACTGAGCATTAGGTTAAGCTCGCCGTGACCCAGAATTAGGCAGACATAATGAGTGATTTTATCTATCTCATTACGCATTCGATATTGCAGTATCATTGACCAATAGTTTCCAGAAACAGCATCGAATGCTATAAATGCTGTAGAGTTTGGCTTTTATTGTGCTGTCTAGGTTGAAGATAACACATCAGTCGAGCAGTAATGCACAATAGGTATACCAGGACCTATTCATTATTGCGTAATATCACGGACGGCCTTGTAAGCACAGTAGTCTGATATCAAGGTATAAATCTGGCACTCTCTGGGAAACAGAAAAAAACGATGGTAGAGTGCTTTTCTTTAGAAAAATATAACAATGAAGAGTAGTATTGGGATGAACAAATACTTACGAAAAACATATGCATTCAATACGGAAGAGCAGTTAGGTATAGAAAGTTTTTTATCCTTCCGCTGCGCTCATTTGACTCAAACGACTTCGGTTGAGTTTCATAAAACCTTTTAGAAAGCTATGGCGTAAGCTATAATATCCTCTTGGCTCTTTTTGTGTACTATAGTACACACTGACATTTAGGCGGCTGGGACCGCCTCTCTCAGTGTCAGCTTCTCGGTAACGTCTCTCCTATGTTTTTGACACTCCGGGCCTGCCACCTGTTGGTCAGTTTACTCGACAAAGCTTTTTAATTTTGCCACCGGGTGTCGTTAGTGATGGCGTCCTCGCGGGGGAAGCGCGCTTCAGGTGAGCTCTCGGGAAATTTGATATTTTCGGGCATTTCGTGGAAAATTTAATAATCTTTTATTGGTCCGTTTTAAGTGAAGCTTGGGTGATTCCTCTAAGGTGCAAAAATAATTATAGAGCCGTTCACATGAAGGCAAGTTGTTCAAATCGGTCATGTCCATCAGGGCTGCGGAGTCGATGGATTTTTGGCGACTCCGACTCCGACTCCGACTCCGGCTTTCAAAAACCAGCTCCGACTCCGACTCCGACTCCGGGCAGAATTGTCGACTCCGACCGACTCCAACTCCCGACTCCGACTCCGCAGACCTAGCAGGGCTGCGGAGTCGACAGATTTTCGGTGACTCCGACTCCGACTCCGGCTCGGGTTTCTAAAATCGACTCCGACTCCGACTCCGACTCCGGTCACAACTGTCGACTCCGACCGACTCCGACTCCGACTCCGACTCCGACTCCGCAGCCCTGATGTCCATCATAGTGTACATTCGGCAGAGCGAAGTAATTTTCTATAAAAAATATGTTTTCGTAAAATTATTTCCAATGGAACGCGATATGTTGTCATTGAGCAGCATTAACATTCAAAAGAGTTCATTTTCCCTTCCTGGTGTCAAATATTCCCCTAGTTTACAGCAAATTAGGTCGCGTTGTACACTATAGTACACACCAGGTAATCGCACCCACAAAAATTGTTTACTATGGTACACTTTCGTCACATAACACTCTGATTCATACATAATATGATTCATTCTTATTTTAGATACGCAAGCATACTTAGCTAGCTATTGCATTCAAAATAGGTCCTATCTAATCCTCCTCACTGTGTGTGTGTGTTCTAAGGTGTCCTGAGGACCCCAGAGAAGATCGCCACCTACCTCCAGTCCTTGAAAGATTCCCTCGATGACTCTGATGAAGACTTCAGTCCTGGTCCAGACCAAATGCAGTCCTCAGGGCCAGAAAACGATAGCGATGACGATGCACACGGTGTTTCCGGAGCTGACGATGGTCTTTCCGAGCATCCGTTGTCCAGGCGCGTGTTCTACGGAAGATCGGAGGAGTTCGTTCCGAAGTCTCGCCAGCAGGGAGCTGGTGATGCTGGCCGATGTATCCGAAAGAGGTCAGGTCCCTCCCAGGCTCGGGTGAAGACTCCCCGAGAGTACATGGAAGTGTTCATCCCTCCTCAAATGTATCGAACCATCGCGCTGCGAACTAATCAGCATGCGGTCGCTCAAACGGGCAAAAGCCTCCTCTTGAAGAACGACGAGTGCGAGCAGTTCTTCGGGGCTAGCTTGCTGATGTCTGTGCTAAGGTTCCCCTGGATACGCATGTACTGGTCACAACCAACGCGAATCGCAGCAGTGGCAGACGCTTTCACTTGGGATCGTTTCCACTTCATTCGGGGACACTTGAAAGTAGTGGATGATGTCGACGTCACCGATGAGGAGAAGAAGGACCGCTTGTGGAAGGTGCGTCCCCTCGTCGAAAGCGTTCAAAGTGGCTGTCTGCAGCAGGAAAGGCCTCCTCCTCAGGTGTCCATCGACGAGCAGATAATTCCTTTCACGGGTAAAACGACACTGAAGCAGTATGTGCCTGGAAAGCCTCACCCAGAAGGTCTTAAGAACTTCGTGCTGGCATCACCGCGAGGACTCGTTCTCGACTTCGAGGTCTACCAAGGGAAGAAGCTTGACGACGGAGGCGCTGAAGGCAAGCCATGGACGGTGGGCGAGTCTGTGGTGATGAGACTGGTGCAAACCTTGGTTCCGGGGGCATCCGTGTACTTCGACAGGTACTGTACAGTGTACAACGTCCCGCCTCCTGGAACAGCTGGAGGCTCGAGGGCTTCACGGGCTGGTACCATCAAGAAAAATCTGGTCCCGAAGGAGGCCAAACTGCCGACAGAGAGGGAACTCGCCAAACGAGGAAGAGGGACGTCTGTGTGCGCTGTCCGCAGTGACGACGCTGTAGCGTTCACGGCCTGGCAAGATCGCAAGATGATCCTGTTGGGATCAACCGAACACGGCGTCGAGCCTTCAGACACCTGTAAAAGGTACCAGAAGACAAGTCGGTCGTACATTGACGTAACTCGTCCTGCAGTCGTCAAGGCCTACAACACCAACATGGGAGGAGTGGATCTGAATGATCGGATGATCGCGCACTATAGGTCAGGCGCGAGAACTCGGAA